TGAGCATTTATATAAGAAAAAAGGGAGATACCCCAATTACCTACTGCTTGATGAGTAGGAAAACAAAGGGTGGTGTGTTAATACAGTGGTCTAGTTTATAGTCATGGAAAGGGGTAGAGAAAAGATACATCCTATAACATGAATAAATATCACAAACATTAAGTTCAGCTGAATGTAGCCAAAGGACTGAAGAGTGGGACACTTCTTTATTAGATGATTTGATTTCTCTTTAATACCCAGAATGAGACACTTGAAACAGAAAGTTAGAGTGGTAACTAATAGATGATGGGGGTCTGGAGAAATGGAGAGTAACTACTAATGAATAAAGTGGTTTTTCTCAAATGACAAAATTATTTTAAAAGTAAAAAAATGATGGTTGCATAATTTTAAGAACATAGTAAAAATACCTACTGGCTTATATACTTTAAAAGAGTGAACTTAGCCGGGCGGTGGTGGCGCACGCCTTTAATCCCAGCACTCGCGAGGCAGAGGCAGGCGGATCTCTGTGAGTTCGAGACCAGCCTGGTCTACAAGAGCTAGTTTCAGGACAGGCTCCAAAACCACAGAGAAACCCTGTCTCGAAAAACCAAAAAAAAAAAAAAAGAGTGAACTTACTACATAAATGTATTACTTCTCAATATCTACAGATCATATTCATTTCATGTCTATGTATGTTTTGTCTGCATCTATGTATGTTCACTGTGTGCATGTCTGGTGCCTGCAAAGAGACAAGAGGGTGTTGGATCCCCTAGATATAAATATCTGTGAGCTTCCTTCCATATGGGTGTGGTTGTAGGTTGAAGGGTTTGTGCTGAGAGGTTTTGAGGACTACTTTTCTCCTCCAGGGGCATGTAGAGTACCTTCCAGTACAGTGAACTGTGGTTAGTAGGTGAATAATGTAGTTAGACACCAGCTCAACTTCTCCATATTCAGTGACAGAAGTGTTCCCTCCAGAAACAAGACCTTAACATCAGGTTGTGTGAGCAACCAAGAGCCATGGCAATAGCCTGTGCTATTTGGTGGTTTCCATGGGTCCCTTTGGTGAATGACTCAACAGGCTGTAACCTGTTCCTGGCACCGGAGGTGTCATTTGGTGGCACTAGATATCTAGTTGAAGTCTTCTCTCCCCTGTTGTTTTTTTTTTTCTCCCTGTGGATTCCTTTCACATATGTATAGGAAGGTTCCGGGATAGTCAGTGTTCATATAGTTTTTCAAAGGGCCTTTAGTATTGGTTGTCTCTCTCCATTTTCCTTCCTTTACCTTTCTGCCCATCCCCCTTTCATTAAACCATCCAATTCTAGTTTTCCTTAATAGCTACATAACACTATAGACTTTTTCCTTTCCTTGAGAGATACGCTTCTTTCTCCTGGTCCCTTACTAGGTTCCATACCTCTGTGGGTATTCAGATTGAAGTTCCCGTATCATCAGAACCTTAACACCCTTAAAAGAGAAAACATACAATATTTGTCTACATGTACTGAGCACTGTATGCTTTTGTCGCTTGAGTCTGACATGGGCATGCACAGGACACACACATGGTGCACAGCTGCTGAGTACCACTGTGAGCTCATAGCGCATCACTATGCCCCTGTAACTGTGTTGCTAAGGAGGAAGCAGAATTCAGCTCACACTGAACCAAGGATCTGCCCAAGCAGGACGCTTATTTGGTTCAGTGGGGAGTTTTAACTAGATTTTGAACGTTTACTTGTTGGATTTGGGAGGGTGCGGGTGGCTAAAGGGGAAGGCAGGGAGGGGCAGTAGGGCCGGGAGGACCGGGAGGGCTGGGAGGGCCAGGAGGGCCGGGAGGGCCGGAGGGGGGTACGGGGTTGTCAGGAAGGCCAGGAGGGCCAGGAGGTCTGGGACGGCCTGTGGAGCCTTGAGCCTCAACATGCAGGAAGATTTCAGTTATGATGCCCTTACCATTCGGGCCCCTCAGCGAACTCGCTGGTATACCCGCCTGTGGTCTGCATGCCGGGGTTGTGGGTGCTTGTGTCGAAAAAAGCGGCGATTTCCCTTGTACCTTATTGGGTACGATCCTGTGGGACGGTTCCAGAGGGCAGCCGCTGTGGGCGATGTCGCTTTAGTGGAGAGATTGATCAATGCCAGTGAACACCAGGTTAACGAGTGCGACCGGAGGGGCAGGTAATGGGGTCTGAGGAGGGGCGAGGGGCAGGAGGGGCAGAAACTGTTGGGGACAGTCAGGGTCTACCAGGGAGAAACATACCTTCCAGAGCTGCAGCCTGTGGGAGAGCAGATGTCATGCTTAAGGCTCTTCTTTCATGGAGACCTCTGGGTTTGTACCTGCTTTAGGCTCCTAGGCACCTGAAACCTGCACACCTTGGAAGGGCATCTCTGAGACTTTCTTTAAGAGAAGCAAAACAAAGAATTCAGTTAGTTTACAAATCCCTTTACATTGTCTCTTTTAGAGCACTTTATTGAGGGCTTTACAGGAAGTTAGCTAAAAAAAACCACATACATCTTTTTATGTGTACACTTAAAATTTTTTAGGTTTGAGTGTATTTTCAGTGTACCACACAAGCATAGGAAGAAGGTGTTGGATCTCCTGGAACTGGAGTCATGGACAGTTGTGATTGCTGTGTGGGTGCTAGGAATCCTACCCAGGCCCTCTGCAGGAAAAACTAGAGCTTGTAAATGCCAAGCCATCTCTCCAGCCCTTTAATGTATATGTTTTTAATGCTATGTTATATGCAACACAGAAAATTGTATCATAAGATAAATTTTCACATAAAAAGCCAACTCAAAGCCAAAAAAAAAAACAAAACAAAGAATTATCAAGAAATCTTATGTTCTTATGTCTGTTTTATGCTTGCTGAGGGATTTCATAAGGAAATTTTCAACTTGAACTATAACTCTGTCCCCCGGCCCCTTATATACATGTGTGTGTTTTGGTACATACATGAAGGCTAACAGTTGGCATTCTCTTTGAAAATTTCTTTTCATCTCATTAAAATATCATATGTGTGTTTGCACCTGTGCCTCACACATGCCAAGTAAGTGTGTGAAGGTCCGAAGAGAACTATCGACAGCTGTATTCTGCCACATTGTGGATTCTGGGGTTGAACATAGGCCATTGGCTCTGCCAGTAGGTGCCCTACCTCATGAACCACCCTGTGGTTCCTCCACCTCAGCTTTTTAGACAGATTCTCTCACCCAAATCCCCGCTGTGTTTGACTGATTGTCTTGGAGTATACTGATTGACCTAGACTTGCTGGCAAGATAGATTTGGGGATCCTCCTGTATCCACATCTCCAGCACCAGTTTCTCAAGGTGCTGGGGGTTCTGAAGTTGGGTCTCAGGCTTGCAGGGTGAGTGATTTCCCAACTGAGTTGTAACAATCACTGCGGTCCTCTTTCCTAGTCCTTGTTTCCTGTTTCTCACTAGATTATAGGCAGGAAACAATGACCCTCAACAGTAGGTTCTCCATAGCTCACATGCTTCTTGATCATGTCTGTAGTTGTGAGGTTATTTAGTCTATAGTTATTCAGTCTTCCAAATTAGAGTTTCATACAAATAATAGGACAGTAAATTATTGTTCAAAGTATTTTTGCTTAATAAGTGTATTCTTTAAAAACAGTGAATTTTCCAGCTGTATTTATCCGTTATGCCAATCCACTTATTCCCTGCACGTAACTTAGATATCTATTGTACAGCATACAAATCTACTAGCTTTCAAGACCTTCTCATTCTTAAAATATTACATTTCTCTGTCCAGTGTGTTTTCCTGACGTTCTATAAATTTAAATAGTGAAAACAAGGAATGATGCTCAACTGAATCCCTAGTATTTTTTTGTCTTTAAGCTTTTTGAAAATCAAAGCAAGGGAGCTATGATACCAAGGGTTATCTCCTTCTGGATATATTTGCTCAGTTTTGGTGCTAATTCATGGAGGTATAAGGCAAAGCCATTTGCTACCACCTGGTGTCTATATTAACATGGACATTCTGTCTATTGACTGAGGACTATGCTGTGTCCCTATTGGCAGCAAATATAGAAACATTAATTCTGGGCATTGAGAAATGAAAAAAATTAAAGTATTGATGAATGAAAACTTAGATTTTAGTTTGTTATTGCTATTCTAAATATGTTTACGTTTCATAGTCTTAAGAGCTACATAGATATATGTGACCTTTAGAAGTGTCATGGGCCTGTGGATTGTGTCATATTTCGTTGGATGTAAGGCACAATGGACTGCATGGTGACCTTTTATTTTGTATGGTAGCAAAGTAAAAAACATTGCCTATTATATTCATAAAATATGAATTATAAGTGGCAGACATCAACGATGCTAAAGTGTGAAATAAAAAGTAAGGTGGGTGCGGTGGTACTGCCTGCATTCCTACCTACTGGGAGGATTACCTACCAAGTTCAAGGCCAGCTTAGGGAATATAGTTTTAAAATATTGTAAAGATACTTGAGTAAAAACTTTCACATCTGCAGTAGGTATAATTCTGCTATTTCTCTTCATTGAAATATTGTGTTTGTTACCATTAGGAACAAATTGTAATTGTATCCAGCAAACACTGAGCTGTCAGGTACTGGAAGCATTTGTACATGCTCTTGAAGATGTGAGTTGAAGCGTCACAGCAGCACTGTGTAAGAGAGCTGCAGTGTTGAATCCCCATTCTACAGATGGAGAGATTGATTTGTGGAGCTCATAGGAAGTCTGTGTTGTAACTAGTAACACTCCGTGATTAGAGTAGGATTCAAATCCAATCTGAGTTCAATCTACTGGGCATTCTCCTGTTATCCAGAGAGGCTGCTCTGAGGAAGGGTGAAGCTTGTGATAAAGCACTCGCCTTGAATGGGACAGCCATGCGCTATATGCCTAGCACAGAAAATGAACACCTGAGGAGAGAAATAAGTAAATAAGAAAATTTTAGTTTCTTCTCTTACATCAGAAGGAAATGCACATTGGTGTCTACTTGAGTGTACCTTTACATAATAATCTGTAATTTCCTAAAATGTCCTCTCAATTTGTAGGAGTCCACTTCACTACGCCTCTGCCCATAATCATCCAAATGTAGTAAGATTGCTATCATCCAACGACTGTACCGATATTAATATGAAGGATGATGAAGGCTGCACGCCCCTAATAAAGGTAGCTATCGGGAAACACTTTTGGTATAAAATGAATTAGAAATTATCCTTGTTTGGTTTTTGTTGCTGTGATGAAACACTAGCCAAAACCATCCCAGGAAAGGAAAGGTTTATTTGGCTTACAATTCCACATCACAGTCAGCCATGAAGGGAAACCAGGTCAGGAGTTCAATCAGGACCTGAGTCAGGAAATGAAGCAGAGGTCATGGGGGAACGATGCTTTTCCGTGGCTTTTTCCAAGGCTTGCTCAGATTTCCTATACTACTCAGGACAACCTTCCCAGTCATGCCATCACCCCTAGGAAGCTGTGCCCTCCCAGATCAACCTCAATCAAGAAAATACTATACAGGCTTCCCAGAGTCTAGTCTGGTGGAGGCAATTCTTCAAGTGAGGTTCCTTCTTTCCAGGTGTCTTCAACCTGTGTCAAGTTATCAAAACAAGCAAATGAACAAGCTGCCTCCCCCACTACAACAATGGCCAAACAGTGCTAGTGAAATCCTTTAATATCTAGGTGTGGTGGCACACCTCTGAAACTCTACCACTTGGAAAACTTTGGTGGAGAGGTTATGAATTTAGGAAAGTCTGGGTACTTGAGAGGGATAATATGCATGACCTAAACAATTGGTCTGATCCAAGGGTAACTAGTCAATGGAATTGTTGGAATGCGTATTAAAGTTCTTGATTTCAGTGTCTCTTTCTTTATCCAATACCCACAGGCCGCCCAATGGGACAATGTAGAATGCATCTCTATTCTACTCATGCACGGCGCTAATCCCAACATTGTAGATGACAGTGGCTATGCTGCCCTCCACCACGCCATTTGCAGAGGGAACTTAAGAGTTGTCAGCAAACTGCTGGAGTATAATGTAGATATGAAAGCCAAAACAAAGGTAAGAATCATTCAACTTCATTCACAATGTACTTCCAGCAATGACACTCAGATCACTTTCCACATTCTGAAGCACAAGCAGTCTCACTGAATCTGTTCAGAGTAAAGCATTTTTTCCAAATCTGTTTTTCATAGTTTTGTAGGTAACTTAAAGGAACTCAGCACAGCACATTTTGTTTCAGACTTGGGCTTTTCTGTAAAATTCAAGAAGTAAAGGACTTGGGCCCACACATACTTCACATACACACAAACAATAGAAAAAAATAATTTTAAGCTAAATGTCTGTAGAAAAAACAGAAATCTGTTGCAATTAAGAAGTTACTGATGTGACTTGTCCCTCAGAGATGAGGCTAGAGTGGGAAGGTCACAGGCACACAGGTAAATGTGGAAATTTGATCATTGAAGAAAACATACTGAGAAGACATTTTCACTTAACTTTTTCAGATTTTATATGTACATAACAAAGGGGCCAAAATGGGACTCTGTCTTAGACAAGGAGCAATTCCATTGTAATTAATGACCTAAGACTGAATCCAGAACGTTCCCCAGTCAAGTTTAGCCAATTGGGTAAACAGTTCCAAACCTGGCCGTATAGGGCCGGGACCAGAGTTGCAGGATCTGGCTGCTACTGACCACATGTGACAGAAAAATCCCACAATGGATGAAACTGTTACTAATTCTGTCCAATCAACATGCTCCCCATGTAACTGCTCCCTGACTGCTCAATTATTGAAAAGATGTTTAAAAGATTAAAAATTTCCCATGTCCACTTTAGAAGGGCCTGTATGTCTTTGTCCGTGGTCCTCATTATCACTTTATATGGGTGATGGACTGTTGCATGCTGGCTATTTCTGAAGAATAAGCATTCTTTGTGTTTACATAACACTTGAGTCTGAGGTCTTCCTCCAGCATCATTTGGACCACTACAACAGGAAACGATGTTTGGTTTGGGAGAAAATTTTTAGGTTAGGGAAAATAGTTTTGAAAAACAGGTTGAGAAACTGCTCCAGAGATGCCACTTGAGTTCACTCATTCAAGAGAGGCATACCAAATCTATCTCCACGTTTTAGGATTGGGGCAATGGAGGCACATCTCCATGGAGCTAAGAAACTTGGAACCAGCAAGTGTTTGTGGGAAGTTCTGGAAATAGTGGTGTTCACGGGCATTGTTGGACAGGGGAAGATGTTTCAAAGGAAAGGGAAGCCCTGTGTGTGTGAATCTGCAGCAAGGACTGAAGGAAAATCTATCCCTTTGTGACTCATTTTGTTTACAAAAATGTGTGATACATTTTTCATTTGAGAAGCATGTCAATTTATAAAGTGAAATTTTTCCTTTACAGTGTGGGTTGACACCCTATAAACTCGCTTTGTTTGAAAATCAACTTGAAATGGCGCAGTTTTTAATTGATAACGGTGCGGATGCACATTCTGAGCTTACACCATATAGGTACTGTTTCTTTTTTATAATCTTAGTGCTGTTCTTGAGGGTGTCATTGCTTAAGTAATGAACACTAAAATGCTAGAGGGAATATGGCTTCAACTCATAAGCACATATTGAGAAAGACTATCTCACAGGGAGTGTGAGCTGGAAAAGAGACTGTTCCAACATAAACAAAGGAACAGTGTGTACCAGGGCTCAGCTTCCCATTTAAAAACAAGTTGTCATTTCTAATCTGATTTGATTGGCAATTTTCTACTTGTTAAGGCAACTTCACATTAATGTTGTTTACTTTGAAAAGTTTCAACTTTATTTTCAACACTGAAATGTATAGTTTTATTATTCTTAGCCTGTTCCTTATATATTTTCTTCTTATATATGTTCAACTTAATTTTTTTTTCAAATCATGTTGTCTCTTTGATCACTCACTCTACTTTAAGTGAATTTTGAATCAGCAAATAGATTAGGGTATCCATCAATTAGATGATATTACCAGATGCTATTATTTTTTCCCCTCTACTGTCTGAAATATCTTGACACTGTGTTAGTCAGATGTGAATATGTACACCCAAATTTCTGAAACAGCTAATCTGGATAAGGACACTTGTCCAAAATGAGTACAAAGAACTAAGACTCCATTGAGAAAATGCCTCCATAAGATCTGGTTGTAAGGCATTTTCTTAATTAGTGATTGATGGATAAGGGCCCAACACATCATGGGAGGTGCTGTTCCAGGGCTCATGGCCGTGAGTTCTATAAGAAAGAAGAATGAGCAAGCCAGTAAGCAACTCCCTTCCATGGCCTCTGTAAGCTCCTGCCTCCAGCTTCCTTCCCCATTTGAGTTCCTGCCCTGTCTTTCTTTAATGATGGACTATGGTGCAGACATATAAACCAAATGAATCCTTTGGTCCCCAAGTTCATTTTGGTCATGGTGTTTTATCACAGAAATAGCAGCTCTAAATACTTGGTATTTAAGATGAGTTCAGCATTAAAAATCAAATGATTACCTTTTTTGTTCATACATACAAGCTTAAAGTCCGATGAATTAAAAAGTAAAGCCTGTGTGTTGTGTATGTTTTTATTGAAAATACACTTTGGACATACCATATATTCTAAAAATGGTTTAGCATCCTTCATCTTCATGTACTTGTTTTTGTGTCAGAGGACATGCATGCACTGATATTCCCAACCAAGACACAGTACAACACTGTGTGATGGCTTTGTCTTCCATCTTATTTGAGGCATTTTTTAAATTTTTATTTGGCAGTTGGCCACTTACTCCAGGTAAGCAGGCTGGGAAGCCTCTTTGGTATCTTACTACCTCCACTTCCTTTGTACTATAAAAGTGCTGGGATTATAGATACATTACACAGTGACTGACTTTTTGTTGAATTCCAGGTATTCAAATTCTGGGCTAATGTGACAATTAAGTATACCCACTGAGCCATCTATCTGGCTCTAAAACACTCAATTTTTATTTTTTAAAATTTATTTATTTATTTATTAATTAAGGATTTCTGCCTCCTCCCCGCCACCATCTGCCATTTCCCTCCCCTTCCCCAATCAAGTCCCCCTCACTCGTCAGCCCGAAGAGCAACCAGGGTTCCCTGCCCTGTGAGACGTCCAAGGACCACCCACCTCCAGCCAGGTCTAGTAAGGTGAGCATCCAAACTGCCTAGGCTCCCCCAAAGCCAGTACGTGAACAGTCAATTTTTAAAAGAAGAGTTTGAGCCTAAATTAAAGAGGTGGTTATAATTATGGAACTAAGGCTTCTGAGTGCAGAGCACTTTCAATTAAACCTCTAATCCAGTTGGAGGGTCTGTGTTTCCCTCTAAGAAGAACCATTTGAGGTCATTTATTCTTACAGAAATTTGTAAAGCTGGTACTTTTGATGAAAATAAAGTATGCTTATGACTTTGACATGGAATAGCACAGTTTTAGGAATTCATGACTAGGAACATGTCTCAGGAATAAAGTACTTATCACACAAACCCAAGATTTCAGAGTTCAACTCCTCAGAACACAGAAAGGGCCTCATGTGCATGTGTGCATCTTAGCCTCAGGGAACCTTGAGGGACATGGGAGATGGAGACAGGAGACTGTCTGGAAAGTTATACTTTAGACAGTCTTGCTTTTTACAGCTGTTAACAAGAAACTCTGCCTCAAAACTAAGTTAGGAGGCAAGGACTGCCAGTCAAGGATGTCCTCTGACCTAAAAAACATGCACTAGGATCAACAGACACAAATGCATACACAGATGTGAACAAGAACGCATATCAAATATGAAGATGAAAAAGTAAGTTTAGGTTGTTGATCTAATAAGACTGGGGATCATTATCTGCTAAAAAGACATTGGAAATAGTGGTCGAGGTCGAAGGTTTTCTTAGTTTTCTGGAGATCACTTCAGCAGCAGTGCTATTTCGGACAAGGTTCACACCGCAGGTGAAAAGTCCCCTGACGAGCTCCAAGACCATGATGACAGCCAAAGCAGAAACTAGGAAAATAAAGCTGCTGGTCCAGAGTATCCTGGCAATAGGCGCTGAAGTACAGCAGTCTTAGCTGTAGCTGTAACCTGGGAAGAATAAAGCTGACAAAAGAGTGTTGCTTTCCTTGAGTTTTGAAGCTGGTTGTGAGTTACAAAGACTCAGGATTACACAAAAAGGCTTATGAACAAAGAAACAGCCAGGCGGTGGTTTCAGCATTCACACATGGAAGAACTGTTAAAACAATTTGAAGGTGCCACAACTGTCACAGCTTCTGAGAATGCAGGCAGAAGGATGCTTAGAAGCAAAAAAATAAAAATACTTTTTCATATACTGACCATTGAGAGCATAGTACTCAACAAAATACCTCCAAAGAGTTCTGACAGATAGGACTGTGGGGCCTTAGGGACAAGCAGGCAGATGAGTGGAACAGGAACACTGACACCACGAGCATATAAATACAAGGTTACTGGAGCATTCCAAGCAAATCTATGGAAAAAGCACTGCTATCATTCGTGTGTGTGTGCGAGAGAGAGAGAGAGAGAGAGAGAGAGAGAGTTTTAATCAAGAGCTAAATTTTCTCTGTTTCTTCTCTATGAGGGAAGGTGGGAAGGACAGCAGTCTTTAATCATCACCAACTGTTGAATGAATTTAGAGTTCTTAGGCTGGGCCTTGTTGCCCATGCCTTTAATCCAGAAACTTGGAAAACAGGAGGCACAGAGATCTCTTTGATTTCAAGACCAACATGATACATATAGTGGGATTAAAGTCAGCTGGACAGCATAATGAGATCCTGTTTCAAAAAATTATTTGTAAATATCTAATGTAAGATATATTAGGGACTCAAAAATAAAGAATTTAGAAAACATGCTAAGTGTTTTTATATGAATAGTTAAATGATGTTCACTTTTAAACATATGTCACAGTGGAGGAGCAGCTGCAGTAGAATCAGAACAATCAATGAAAACATGTGCCAACTCCAAAAAAGGTAAGAATGACTCCAACTGCTCCTACCTTCCCTAAAGAAAATAAGGAAGAGTGAAGATTTTAGATCCCCAAAAAGGAGTTAAGGCAATCAAAGATAAATGCCGTTCTGTGGTTTTCAAATATTCTGAAAAGTCAGAATTAATTAAGAAATTATTTCAAAGAATTTTCAACTGTGAAAATATATTGTCAAAACATTGCTTATTTTATATTAATGCTAATATCTGTACTGCCGTTGAATAAAGAAGAAATCAACTTTACGCACACGTGTCCTCCATAGTCACATTGCAGCAAATAGGATTATTAGAGATACATATTCTCCTTGAGTTTTATGACAAACTTTGTATTTTGTACTGCATAACAGTCCACAGGTAGGTGTCACTAGAATGTAATTATGTCACAAACCAACCTCAGTAATCAATAACTTTCATTAAATAATTTCCTACCTTATGATATAATTAAAATCTTCTGACCTCTTTAATGTCTGAGCAATTTCTCAGTTTGGACAGTTTTGTCCTACTGTATAATTGTTTTCTTTAGAAATCTCCCATTTTAGGGTGAAAGCTTCGTTCTGTAATGAATGTATTGAGTTTATGAAGACTTATCAATCCTGACATGTTTTCTTTTTCTTTCTTTCTTCCTTCCTTCCTTTCTTCTCTTTTTTCCTTCTTTTTTTGTTTTGTTTTGGTTTTCTAAAGTGCTAGACATGGAGCACAAGGCTTTGGGAGCATTCTAGGCAAGCACCCTACCCATTATCCCTACCTTCAGTACTTTTCTCTTTAGTTTTTCTGAAATAGAACATGGTAAGGGTGAATATCATTTCCATGCTGCAAAGCATGATTCAGGAATAAACATTGGAACAAAAAACAGAGTGTAGAAAATGACATCATTCTGTATTTCAAAGAATTGTCTGCTTCTCCATTGAGTCTGGAGAGACTTTGTGGCAGTGGCAGGAACACCACGTAGTATTTACTTTCAGTAACTGTCACCACAGTGTCTTTTATACCTAAGTTGCCAGTGGCAACCACACTAGGTAGAGAATCCAAAACCCTCTCCCTCAAGAAGTAAGATGAAGAGAGTCAATATTATTGTAATGGAGACAGCTTTGTGTCACTTTATTATGAAGTTTGCTGTTCCTGGCATTTGTGGTGGTGAGAACTGACTGAGGCCTCCTGCATAATAAGCATAGGCTTTCCTACTGTGCCGCAATCCCAGTCCACTAGTTGATGGCTCAAATGACCTTCCTGAGTCATGAGGAATGCTTAAAAGCACATTAAGTTTCTCTGACTTTAATCAAGACAAAAACAATGAATAAAGGTTTCATTTCATTTTTGTTTTCTTATGTTTATTTTCGTTTTGTGAGACAGGGTTTTCCTGTGTGTTGACTTTGAGCCTAACCTGAAACTCATTCTGTAGACCAGGCTAGGCTTGAAATTACAGAGATCTGCATGTCCCTGTTACCAAGGCTGGGATTAAAGGAGTGTACCATCACTGCCCAACTCAAATGTTTATTTCTAAAAGCAAGCTGCAAGTGTCTAGGGAAGGATTGAGTGAGTTTATTGTTTACATTTGTAAGCATGTACAATGATCCTATGTCAGAAGGAAGTCCATGGAATTTGCTGCTGCAGTCTCACGGCTTCTTCTCTGAGGTAGAGCTCGGGGTTATTACTACCAAGGGAGGGATCTTTCCAATAATTCTTTTCAGGGGAGATGATGCCTGCTTTCTTGAGCATCCTTTAAGCTGCATATAAGGCTGGGAACACAGATGGAACTAAGGAATTTCTTTTCTCAACAGGGATGAGGAGAGGAAGCCTGTTGCACACCCTTGAGCTGTTACGTAAAAGTCTTTGCCCCTCTTCTCTTTCTTTCTGTTAGGTTATACCCTGATACAAAAGACAGAAGCCATACATCTAGTCCCAGTGGTAGCAATTTGCACCATAAAATGAACAATTTTAACTAAAAAGCTGAGCAAGATTCTTTGTTTCCCTGAAGAACAAGAATGTGTATAGGCTCATGGATTTTTTTTCCATTTTGAATCTATTGTTTTGTTTGTGAGACACAGTCTCATTTTTACATAGTTCTGGATGTCTTGGGAATCACAGGGATCGACCTCTCTTTGCCACCCATGTGCTGGGATTAAAGTTGTGTGCCACCATCTAGACTCTAGAATTTTTCTCAAGTGTCATTATCCCAAAATCAAACAAGAACCACAGAAGCTATTTTGTGACACAGTCAATTGATGCTTATACTGGTAAGGATGCTGTTCTCCATCTGTCTGAGAGAGATCATTTAGGATCATCTCAATTGTTTATGGGTGGGTGTTTACCTTTAAGTATTATGCTTGTTAAATTTAAGTCTTCTTTGATTTGAAATATAAAGAAAATGAATGAATTCCACCTGAAGACATTTCTTACAAGGAAGTACTTATTCTAGAATAATCTAGATTCATCTAAAAAATTATACTATGTGTCTAATAATTTTATATGTTATATTTTTCTAGCATTGTAATGAATTAATTTTGATTTTTTTCAGAAGAAAATTTCAGCACTGACATAATGCCTTCTTGCAGGTAAGGTCTAATGATATATAAAGACTAAGGAAATTCAAAGATAACAAGCTAACTATTGGTTGTATTCTCAGATAGATGCCGATTTATACACTCAATTTTTGTGTTGTCTTACAATCCCCACAGTATTATCTGTATTTTTAGACTGAAAATTTATTGTTTTTAGATCATGGGCATGAAGTTTATACTCAACCATCATTTCCCCTGTACCAATTCTGTGTTTTGGAAAATGAGCTTCCTAATGTTTACCACACACACTATGTCCATCTGACACTCCTTGCCTTTCAAAAATTGCTGAAATCAGCTAGTGAACTAGATCTTCATCGCATTTGTCTTTCTGATGGCTGACAGAATTTGGGATCATTCTGCATTATCACAGAGTGTTACAAGAAATCAACATCCCCATTGTCTCAGTGTGTGGGTGCACCCCTTGCGGTCCTTAGTTCCTTGCTCATGCTCTCTCTCCTTCTGCTCCTGATTTGGACCTTGAGATTTCTGTTCGGTGCTCCAGTGTGGGTCTCTCTCTCTGTCTCCTTTCATCACCTGATGAAGGTTAATATTCAGGAGGATGCCTATATGTTTTTATTTGAGTTCACCTTCTTATTTAGCTTCTCTAGGATCACAAATTATAGGCTCAATGTCCTTTATTTATGGCTAGAATGTTCTATTGGGAACTCACCAAGGCCAGCTGGCCTGGGTCTGAAAAAGCATGGGATAAAACTGGACTCGCTGAATATAGCGGACAATGAGGACTCAAGAACAGTGGCAATGGGTTTTTGATCCTACTGCACGTTCTGTCTTTGTGGGAGCCTAGGCAGTTTGGATGCTCACCTTACTAAACCTGGATGGAGATGGGTGGTCCTTGGACTTCCCACAGGGCAGGGAACCCTAATTGCTCTTTGGGCTGAAAAGGGAGGGGAACTTGAATGGGGGAGGGGGAGGGAAATGGGAGGCAGTGGCGGGGAGGAGGCAGAAATAAATAAATGAATTAAAAAAGAAATCAACAAATTGTTTGCCTCCTTTGACACCATCTCCACATGCAGAGGCCCTTTTGTTCTGTGTAGGACCCTTTCATAGTTGGTAGAAGATCCCATGCCTTCCTCCTACCACAGTGCTCCATCCATCACTTGTCCATTCCTGTGAGCTGTTTTCTACAGTAATGAAGTCTCTGGATCTCAGTAGATTATCTGGATGTAGAGAGCCAAACTGTGGCATGGTTACTCTTTATGTGTCTATAAAAGGGGCTTTGTCTTCCCCATCAGTAGGACATGAACATAGAGTAGAAGGCCCCTTCTGTCAGTGATCTGCTATCTCAGACAGATTTGGCAAAAAATTAAAGGTGGTATATCAAGCTAGTTCTGTGCTCATCTTAATTGATTACTTCCATAATAGAGGACAATTGTGTTATCATTTGTGGGAACATGTATCATAAAACATTTGATACACATTAGTAAATTGCTTATTACTAATGATTTATTAATAAATTACTCCAAGTTAAAAGGTCCAAAATGCATCACAGTTAATGTCCAAAGTGCAGATTCATAATTTACAGTAGCTACAACTGTTCAAAGGCACACCTTGTAAAAACCATGTTCTTTTCTTCTAGGAATTCTAAACTATCTCAAGCTAATAACCTGAAATTATCCACTGAGTTTATATTGCTGTTTGTTCATATTTTTATCTCGTTAAATTAATAGCAATGCTCATTTGGCATAGAAACAGGCCGATTGTGGTTTCAAGATCCACTCATGAATGGACTACTAAGGGGCAGCTTGAGCATATCCTAGGCCATGGTATCTCGTCAGAGTGCTAGCAGAAGCAGGAATCTATTCTATGGTCCACAAACAAACCTTGTGAGAGATAGCATTACGTGCATTGAGAGCCCACAAAGTAACCTGAGAGAGAGGGGTTCTGTGATGCTCTAGGAGCAGATGATGACATGACAAGTGGACTTGGGGTACTAATTACATTGAGCACAAGAGTGACCATTAGTTACTACAGCATTAAAAAAGTGCTGTGGAGAAACTAGTCTCTTTCTTCGTGTGTGTTTCTATGTTTTTAGTGGACTAAATTCTTTTTTTCACATGAGAAAAAGTTTTAAGGAAATTGTCAACAAACCTAATCAACTGATTGAAGGACAATTTAATGGCTGATGGTAAATCTCTAATGTATTATAGGAAAACATTTGGTAAATGTTTTTATACGAATATTAAAATATTACTTTTTAAAATATACCACAGTGCAGTAAGACCAGCAAGACAGCTAAAATCCCTATTGAAGAAGTCTTTCCTGATTAAGAGAGGTAAGAGTGAAGGTGAATACTTGACTACCCCCTCCCTAATTTCAAGAACAGCTTGGTTTTTTCAAAAATATGAACAGAGGAAATAATATAGCAATGTAATTCTATCTTCTTTTGATTTGCCTTCAAATGTCCTTTGGATTCAAAATTATTTAAGAAGTAGTTTCTGATAAATTGTCAGTCTCAAACTATATCATCTGAAACGTTTGTTCATTTAATGTCAGCCTCTGATGTACACGGTATCTTTGTATAAATAAAAAGATCTCTAACTAGTCCACACTATGTGTCCTCAATGGTCATGTAACAGCAAGTTGTCTTGTTATAAATGAACTTTTTATTAAAACCACATTGTGTTTATGCTACATATTATTATATACATCAATGTCAATGTCAATAAGATGATCATGTTAAAAAACCAAAAATACAGTATTCAATTACTTTGTTTTTTGAGGACTAAATGCTAATAAATTTTTCTGGATTTTGCTCCTTTATATAATTTCCCAATTTAGACATATTAGACAATTCACACATGGTATTATGTTTATCTTTAATTATCTGTTATTTAATCTGAATAATCTTGACAAAAATCTTGGCCTAAGAAATAATAGACTTGCTCAACATTTTAAAGAAATGAATGGACTTTGAGTCCGGTAGGCAGTTCAGGGGATAGAACACTGCTGTTATAAACATTCTCTGGTAGGACACGCCCTATTGACTGTACCACCAGCACCTTTTTCCTTTGGTTTTATTAGTTAGTTTAAGATATGATGATACTTGGTTTATATGCTGATAGGCATAATTTTCAGAGCAATTTGCCACAATAGGAGGAAGGCTGAGAAAGTGCATCATTCTACAGTCGACAGCACTGATTGGTCCATTGAGTATATGGTATCTATCTAAAAAATTGTTCATTTCTTTTACATTTTCCAATATTGTGTAGTACAGGTTTTGTAGTATGACCTAATGATTCTCTGAATTTCCTCAATGTCTATTGTTAAGTCCTTCTTTTCATTTCTGATTCTGTTAATTTGGGTGATCTCTCTCCATCTTTTGATTAGTTTATATAACGGTTTGTCAATCTTGTTGATTTTTTTTTTCAAAGAAAGAGCTCTTTGTGTCATTGATTCTTTGTATTCTTTTCTGTGTTTCTGTTTTGTTGATTTCAGCCCTCTGTTTGATTATTTCCTGTCTTCTACTACTTCTGGGTGAGTCTGCTTCTTTTTTTCTAGAGCTTTCAGGTGTGCTGTTATGTCGCTAATGTGAACTTTCTCCATTTTCTTCATGTGGGCACTTACTGCTATGAATTTTCCTCTTAGCACTGCTTTCATAGTGTCCCATAGGTTTGGATATGTTGTGCCTTCATTTTTGTTGAATTCAAGTAAGACTTTTCTTTCTTTATTTCTTTTTCAACACAGGGGTGGTTCAGTAGTTGACTGTTCAGTTTCCATGAGTTTGTAGGCTTTCTGGGAGTAGTATTGTTGTTGAGTTCTAACTTTACTCCATGGTGAGCTGATAAGACACAGGGGTTTACTCCAAATTTTTGTAACTGTGTGGGATTGCTTTGTTACTGATTATGTGATCAATTTTAGAGAAGGTTCCACAAGGTTCTAAGAAGAAGTTATATTCTTCTTTGGGGGGGGGAGGTTCTATAGATATCTGTTAAGTCCATGTGATTCATTACATCTGTTAGTTCTCTTATTTCTCTCTTAAGTTTCTGTCTAGTTGTTCTATCCATTGGAGAGAGAGGAGTGTTGAAATCTCCTATTAGTGTGTGGGGCTTGATGTATGATTTAAGTTTTAGTATTATTTCTTTTAGTATATGGGTACTCTTATATTTGGTGCATAGATATTCAGATTGATACTTCATCTTGATGAATTGTTCCTGTCATGAGTATAAAGTGTCCTTCTCTATCTCTTCTGATTGATTTTAGTTTGAAATCATTTTTGTTATTTATTAGGGTAGCCACACCTGCTTGTTTCTTAGGTCCATTTGATTGGAAGGCCTTTTCCCAACCCCTTTACTCTGAGGTAGAGTCTGTCTTTGATGTTGAAGTGTGTTTCTTGTAAATAGCACAAGACTGCATTCTGTTTTTTTTCAGTTGTTCTCAGCACAAAGCATGTGATGTAATTTTTTTTTATTTTTTAAATTTATTTATTTATTAAGGATTTCTGCCTCGTCCCCACAACCGCTTCCCATTTCCCTCCCCCTCCCCCGATCAAGTCCCCCCCCTCATCTGCTCAAAGAGCAATCAGGGTTCCCTGACCTGTGGGAAGCCCAAGGACTGCCCACCTCTATCCAGGTCTCGTAAGGTGAGCATTCAAACTGCCTAGGCTCCCACAAAGCCAGTACGTGCAGTAGGATCAAAAACCCACTGCAATTGTTCTTGAATTCTCAGCATTCTGTTTTCATATCCATTCTCTTAGCCTGTGTCTAAGAGTAGATTGATTTAAGTGATATTAATGACCAGTGGTTGTTAACTCTGGTTCTCTTTGAGTAGTGGTGTTTGTGTTTTTCCCTTCTTTGGGTTATGCTGGTAGGGGTTTTCCTGATTTCTGTGATATTGTGTGTGTAGTTAGCTTCATTGGGTTGAAGTTTTCCTACTAGTACTTTCTGTAAGACTGAGTTTTTGTATATGTACTGTTTAAATCTGTTTTTGTCATGGAGTATCTTGCTTTCTCCATAGATGGTGAGTGAAAGCTTTGCTGAGTATAGTAGCCTGGGCTTGCGTCCATGGTTTCTTAGTGTCTGCAACACATCTATCCAGGACCTTCTGGCTTTCATGGTTTCCATTGAGAAGTCAGGCATAATTCTGATAGGCTTACCTTTATAAGTTACTTGACCATTTTCCTTTGCACCTTTTAAATATTCTTTCATTATTCTGTATGTTCTTTGTTTTGATTATTATATGGCTAGGGGATGCTATTCTTTTGATCCAGTCTATTTGGTGTTCTGTAAGCTTCTTGTATCTTCATAGGGATATCCTTCTTTAGGTTGGGAAAGTTTTCTTCTATAATTTTGTTGAATATGCTTTCTGTGCCTTTGAGCTGGAGTTCTTTTCCTTCTTCTACTCCTATTATTCTTAGTTTTGGCCTTTTCATGGTGGCTCAGATTTCCTGAATGTTTTGTGTTAAGAATTTGTTGGATTTAATGTTATCTTTGACGTATGAAAATTTTCTTTATAGTATGTTCAGCACCTGAGATTCTTTCTTCTATCTCTTATATTCCGTTGGTTATACTTGTCTCTGTAGTTCCTGTTCATTTACCCAGATTTTCCATGTCCACAATTCCCTTGGTTTGTGTTTTCTTTATTACATGTATTTCAGTCTTCAAGTCTTCAACTGTTTCTTTCACTTGTTTGATTGTTTTATCATGGATATTTTTGGGTTTCTTTGAAGGATTTATTAATTTCTTCCAACTTTGTTTGTCTTCTCTTAAATTTCGTTAAGAGGGTTTTTCACTTCCTCTTTAAAGGTATTCATCATTTTCATAAAGTTACATTCAAAGTCGTTTTCTTCTACTTCTGGGTTAGAATGGTCAAGTCTTCCTTTTGTGTGTCTACTGGATTCTCGTGTTACCATGCTATTTTTTTGGGATGTTGGAGGAATTCTTGCATAGGCACCTACCCATCTCTTCCTTCAAATGAGGCCAGCAGTGTCTTGGCATCTTGGTCCAATCATTGCTGTGGCTGTCTCTTTGGTCTCCTCAGATTTGGAGCAAGCTGTATTTCAGAATTCAACGGTGCTTGCAGGCACTTGGGGGCCCTCAGTATTGGAACAATCTGTGTTTTTGGGTTCCACGGAGCTTGCAGGTTAACAGGCACCACCTTGGATTTTCATTGTGGTGAAAGGGGGTTGTTGGAGGTCTCCCACCTGCTAGGCCTCATTGGCAACCCATTTGTTGGTGGGACCAACTCTCCGCTTCAGCCATAGGCAATGCTAAGGAAGTTATATTACAGTTTATATACTGTGAATAAAATAAACAAGAATTTGCTTCATTCCTTTTCAGAGAGCGGGCTTTTAGCATGTATTGGGAGCTTGAGGCATTGTCTGTGGGAACTCTGATGTTTCTTGTAAGGTACTACTACCATGGAATTGCTGCTTGGTCCCCACGTTTCTTTCATGCTTCTTGCCCAAGAGATACAGTTCAGGGTGCATAACTACTGCAGGGTGCTTTGCAATAGCTCTTACCATGGAGGTGATAGCTACTGATGCTGAATTTCTTTGCACTGCCCATTCGTGAGGAACCAGAAGCTAGAACTGAGAGGCTTCTGCATCTTCCTCAGAAGCACTTGAGGAGAGTACACACCTTGACCCCTCTCTGGAGCTTTGCCAACCTATCAGTTTGAAATTCTTTGCAGGGTCCTTTGTCCTTGGAATGCTTGTGGGGTTTGTTTGTTTGTTTGTTTTTCATTTTTCTATACTGCAAAGGGCAGTCACCGTAGACTTTGCTTCCTTGTGTCTGGAATTTTCATCTTCAATGGAATAAGGTCAACTTAAACTTTAGAGAAACTCTTTTCACTTCCATACAAGATGAGTATGCTCACTTACAATTCTCCTACCACCACTAGTCCAGAGACAAAATCAACAGCAGCAACACTGTGCTACTACTGTAACACTTCAGCTTGTGATACTGATTCTAGTTAAGATGTCTTATAGTGCTTAAGATCGTAGGTGTTTTGTACACCAATTTATTATAAGTAGTAACTTTTGATAAATTTGTCTCATTTGAAACATACAAAGAAGTCTCAATTAATTGTTATCCATATATTTGTTGTCTATAAATCAATATTCACTTTAAATTTTAGCCTCATTTGGGGACAAATAAATGTAGTAAAAAATATTGGCCTTGGCATTTAATGCTCTTATATTTTACAATTGATTATAACATATTTTGTTTTTCTACTTTATAGCTAGTCGAAGACCAAACGATCAGATCTCACTCAGGTAAGAATGTCTGGATTTTAAAATACATTGAGTATGTAGAGAATATAAAGTTCAGAAGCTGTCATCATGTTTTTTTCTGTGTAAGCCAGTTTCAGCTTCTTGATTAGTGCTAATCAAAGCTGAATATTTATCTATGGAGAAGCATATAGTTTTAAATAACTGATTATTCCTCTGATACAGCATGAAATGCTATAGGACTCCCTGTCTGTGGAGGTGATTCAGCGGATAAAGTGCTGGCTGTGTATATGGGAAAATGGGAGATAGATTCCCAGGGTCTGTATGAGGCCTGTTGGTCTTGTGCACTTTTAAAATTCTGGTGAGCTTATGGTTAGATTGCAGGTGGAGACAGAGCATCCCTGACATTTTCTGGATTGCTTGCCTGAGGTTTGCATTCATGAGTGAGAGACCCAGCTAGTAAACTAATGTTTAAGGTTAGGGTCAACTCCCAAGTCTATATTCCAATCACCGCACCTACACACTGGCATGTATGTACCTTAAATCACACATACATAGAAATACACAGTATATACCATATTTTGCACATATATGTAAAAGGATCCATTTTCAAGTCATTAATCTTTTTCACTAATTTGTTTGGCTGAGTTGTCTGTGGGAAGAGTGTGAAAAATATGGCAAGGTTCAAAACTCTCCAAGGCTTTGCTAAAGATCACCTCAGAATGGCCTTATAGACATGCTTCTGTCCTACAGGTTAATAGCTCCCTTAATGAGTTCCCCAACTATGGTGAATCACAAGGTAGATGAAGTTAGAAAAACAAACTGGTTGGTCCAGAGCTTACCAACCAGAAGCCCTGAAATTTGGAGCTCTTAGCTGTAGTTCAGATGGAGTAGAGCTGAGGGTACTGTATTGCTCTGCAGTGCCCTGTAAATACTCAAGACTTGTGCAGGAAGTAATGGCCGTTGAATATAAAGAGGATCATCATAGATCCAGGTGGTTTGGGTGCATGCTTTTAATCCTAGCACTCAGGAAAGTAGAGGCAGGCGGATCTGTGAGTTCAAGGCAAGCCTGGTTTACAAGAAGCAGTTCCAGGACAGGCTTCAAAACTACAGAGAAACTCTGTCTCAATAAACCAAAAAAAAAAAAAAAAAGGATTAAAAGGAAGAAAAAAAAAAGAATTTCATCATGTACTTGTGCACAGACTTCCAATAAAGCAGCTTCAAATCACCAAAATATGGTGAATTCTGATATTGTTGGCAGCTTGATGTTTAGATGTTTAGATTTTTAGATGTTTGATGTTTAGATCAAGATGTTGCTCCCAAAGCAATTTCTTGGGAGAGAGTGAGTGACTAAATGTAATGCCTAAAGAGTTTCTTGACAGAAAACAGGACAAGGTGCTGTAGGTTTAGGGGAAGAAATGAAATAGGAGCATTAAGTACTTAGAGCACAAAACAATCAGTTACTGCTACCATCAGAACAAAGTATGTGGCAAAACCGCCATTCCCCTGTCTTGTGTGCTTGGATGTGTGTGTGTGCGTGTGTGTGTGTGTGTGTGTGTGTGTGTGTGTGCGTGCGTGTGTGTGTTTCAATCAAAAGCTAAATTTTCTGTGTTTTTCTCCATGAGGAAAGGTGGAAAGGAGAGCAGTCATTAATCATCACCAACTGTTGAAGAATGAATTCAGAATTATTTGGCTGGGCTTCTATCCCATGCCTTTAATCCCAGAATGTGGGAGGCAGGAGGCATAGATCTCTTTGATTTCAAGACAAACATGAAACATATAGTGTATTAAAAGTTAGCTGAAATACATAATGAGATCCTGTTTCAAAAAATGTTTTTGTAAATATGTAATGTAAGATGTGTTAGGGACTCAAAAATAAAGAATTGAGAAACATGCTAAGTGTTTTTATATGGATAGTTAAATGATGATCACTTTCAACATATGTCACAGTGAAGGAACAATAACAAGAGAGCCGGAGCAGAGAAAGGAAAAGTGTGTCACCTTCAACGATGGTAAGAATTACTCCATCTGTCCTACCTTCCCTGAAGAAAATAAGGAAGAGTAAAGATTTTAGATCCCAAAAAAGAGTTAAGGATAACAAGTATAAATCAAGCACTTTCAATTGTGAAGTATTTTTGTCAAAACATTGCTTATTTCACCTTAATGCTGATATCTGTACAGCCATTGAATAAATGAGAAAACATCTTTACACAGCACATGTCCTCCATAGTCACATTGCAGCAAATAGGATTGTCAGAAATACAGATTCTCCTTGAGTTTATGACAAATGCCTTGTATTTTGTACTGCATATCGCTAACACATCTCACTGCCACTAAAATGAAATTATGTCACAAAAAACCTTAATCAATTATTTTCATTAACTAATTTCCTACCTTATGATGTAATTAAATCATCTGAGTTCTTAAATGTCTGTGAAAGTTCTCAGTTTGGAAAGTTTTGGCATACTGTATAATTGTTTTCTTTAGAAATCTCCTACTTTAGGGTGGAAGTGTTTCTTTTATAGTGAATGCATTGATTTTAGGGAGACTTACCAATCCTTATATGTTTTCCTTTTCTTTCTTTTCCTTCTTCCTTTTTCTTGGTCCCTGCCTCCCCTTGTTTCCTCCACCCATCCCTAAATCCCTCCCTCCCTCTCTTCTTTCTTTCTTCCTTTCTTTCTTTCTCTTTCTTTTCTCTGAAGTGCTAGAGGTTGAACATAAGGCTTTGGGAGCATTCTAGGCAAGCACCCTACCCATAATCTCTGCCTTCTGTTTTAGTTAAATAGAACATGGTAAGGGTGTATATCATTTCCATGCTGCATAGCATGATTCAAGAATAAAAACTGAAAGAAAAAGCAAAGTGAAGAAAATGACATCATTCTGTATTTCAAAGAATTATCTGCTTCTCCATTGAGTCTGGAGAGACTTTGTGGCAGTGGCAGGAACACCACGTAGTATTTACTCTCAGTAACTGTCATCATCACAGTGTCTTTTATACCTAAGTTGCCAGCGGCAACCACACTAGGTAGTGCATCCAAAACTCTCTTTCCTCAAGAGGTAAGATGAAGAGAGTCAATATTATTGTAATGGACACAGCTTTGTGTCACTGTATTATGAAGTTTGCTGTTCATGGCATTTGTGGTGGTGAGAACTGACTGACGCCTCCTGCATAATAAGCATAGGCTTTCCTACTGAGCCGCAATCCCAGTCCACTAGTTGGTGGCTCAAATGGCTGTCCTGCGACATGTGGGAATGCTAAAAAGACACACTAAGTTTCCTTGACTTTAAACAACACAAAAAATAAATAAACATTTCATTTCTTTTTTGGTTGGTTAATGTTTATTTTAGTTTTTTAGAGATAAGGTTTTTCTGTGTGTAGATTAGAGCCTGCCCTTTAATGTATTCTCTACGCAAGCTTGCCTTGAACTCCCATAGAGCCTCCTGCCTCTGTTTCCAAGCACTGGGATTAAAGGTGTGAGCCACCACTGCCAGCCTCCAATGTTTCATTTCTAAAAGCAAACTGCAAGTGAACAGTGAAGGATTGAGTGAGTTTATTGTTTACACATGTGAACTTGTACAATGATCCTATGTCAGAAGGAAGCCCATGGAATTTGCTGCTCCAGTCTCACAGCTGCTTCTCTGATGCTCTTGCACTTGAGGTCGAGCTTGGGGTTATTACTCCCAAGGGAGAGATCTTTCCAGTAATTCATTTCAGGGGAGATGATGCCTGCTATCATGAGCATCCTTTAAGCTGCATATAAGTCTGGGAACACAGATGGAACTAAGGATATTCTTTCCCCAAAGGGGATGAGGAGAGGAAGCTTCATGCCTGCCCTCCCTTGAGCTGTTATGTAAAAGTCTTTGTCCCTCTTCTCTTTCTTTCTGCCAGGTTTCATCCTGATACAAAAGACAGAAGCCATACATATAGTCCCAGTGTTAGGAATTTGCCTGACAAAATGAACAATTTTTACTAAAAGGTTCAACAAGGTTCTTCGTTTCCGTGAAGAACAAAAATGTGTATAGGCCTATGGATTTTTTTTCCATTTTCAATTTTGTCAGAGTGCTAGCAGAAGACACAGTTTTATTTTTATGTTTGTGAGACACAGTTTTATTGTTATGTAGTTCTGGCTGTCTTGGGAATCACAGGGTGAGTGTTTGTTTTTAGGTATTATGCTTGATAAGTTTAAGTCTTGTTTGATTTGAAATAAACAAAATAGATTAATTCTACATGAAAAAATTTCCTACAAAAGAGTATTTACTCTAGAATAGTCTAGATTAGTCTCAAAAATGGATACTATGTATCTAATCATTTTATATGTTCTATTTCTCTAGCATTGTAACAAATTCATTTTGATTTTTTTTTTTTAGAAATACATTACAATACTGATAAGAAGCCTTTTTGCAGGTAAGGTCTAAGAATAAAGTAATCCTAAGGAAATTCCAAGATAACAAGCCAATTATTAGTTGTATTCTCAGATAGATACTGATTTTTACACTCAATTTTTGCTTTGTCTTACAATCCCCATAGTATTATCAATGTATTTTAGCCAGAAATACTGTTGTTTTTAGATCATGGACATGAAGTGTATACTCAACCATCATTTCCCCTGTACCAATTCTGCGTTTTGGAAAATGAGCCTACTGATGATAACCACACTCACTATGTCCATCTGACACTCCTTGCCTTTTCAATTTTTTTCTGAACTCAGCTAGTGAACTAGATCTTCATCGCATTTGTCTTTCTGAGAGCTGACAGGATTTGGGATCTCTCTGCATTATCACACAGTATTACAAGAAGCCAACAAATTATTTTCTTCCTTTGACACCATCTCCACGTGCAGAGGCCCTTTTGTTCTGCGTAGGACCCTTTTATAGATGGTGGAAGATCCCATGCCTTCCTCCTACCACAGTGCTCCATCCATCACTTGTCCGTTCCTGTGAGCTGTTTTCTACAGTAATGAAGTCTCTGGATCTCAGTAGATTATCTGGATGTAGAGAGCCAAACTGTGACATGGTTACTCTTTATGTGTCTATAAAAGGGGCTTTGTCTTCCCCATCAGTAGGACATGAACATAGACTAGAGGCCCTTTCTGTCAGTGATCTGCTATCTCAGACACTGATTTGGCAGAAAATTAAAGGTGGTATGTCGAGCTAGTTCTGTGCTCATCTTAATTGATTACTTTCATAATAGAGGACAATTGTGTTATCATTTGTGGGAACATGTATCATAAAACATTCGATACACATTAGTAAATTGCTTATTACTAATGATTTATTAATAAATCACTCCAAGTTAAAAGGTCCAAAATGCATCACAGTTAATGTCCAAAGCGCAGATTCATAATTTACAGTAGCTACAACTGTTCAAAGACACACCTCTTAAAAACCATGTTCCTTTCTACTAGGAATTCTAAACTGTCTCAAGCTAATAACCTGAAATTATCCACTGAGTTTATATTGCTGTTTGTTCATATTTTTATCTCGTTAAATTAATAGCAATGCTCATTTGGCATAGATTGTGGTTTCAAGATTCACTCATGAATGGACTACTAAGGGGCAGCTTGAGCATATCCTAGGCCATGGTATCTCGTCAGAGTGCAAGCAGAAGCAGGAATCTATTCTATGGTCCACAAAGAACCTTGTGAGAGATAGCATCACGTGCATTGAGAGCCCACAAAGTAACCTGAGAGAGAGGGGTTCTGTGATGCTCTAGGAGCAGATGATGACATGACAAGTGGAATCGGGGTACTAATTACATTGAGCACAAGAGTGACTATCAGTTACTACAGCATTAAAAAATGTGCTGGAGAAAAACTAGTGTCTTTTTTTTTAAATTTTTTTTGAGAAAAAAAAAGTTTCTGCCTCCTCCCAGCCTCCCATTTCCCTCCCCCTCCTCCCACTCCTCTCCTCCTTCCCCCACTCTTCTCCCCCTCCCTCTCCAGTCCAAAGAGCAGTCAGGGTTCCCTGCCCTGTGGGAAGTCCAAGGTCCTCCCCCCCCTCCGTCCAGGTCTAGGAAGGTCAACATCCAAACTGGCTAGGCTCCCACAAAGCCAGAACATGAAGTAGGATCAAAACCCCATGCCATTGTCCTTGGCTTCTCATCAGCCCTCATTGTTCGCCATGTTCAGAGAGTCCGGTTTTATCCCATGCTTTTTCAGTCACAGTCCAGCTGGCCTTGGTGAGCTCTTAATAGATCAGCCCCTGTCTCAGTGGGTGGGAGCACCCCTCGTGGTCCTGACTTCCTTGCTCATGTTCTCCCTCCTTCTGCTCCTCATTGGGACCTTGGGAGCTCAGTCCGGTGCTCCAGTGTGGATCTCTGTCTCTATTTCCATCCATCGCCAGATGAAGGTTCTATGGTGATATGCAAGATATTCATCAGTATGGCTATAGGATAGGGTCATTTCAGATTCTCTATCCTCAGCTGCCCAAGGAACTAACTGGGGACATCGCCTTGGGCACCTGGGAGCCACTCTAGATTCAAGTCTCTTGCCAGTTCTAAGGTGGCTCCCTTAACTAAGATATGTGCTTCCCTGCTCCCCTATCCAGCCTTCCGTTATCCCAATCATCCCGTTTCCCCAAGTTTTCCCAATCCTCCCCTTCTCACTGTTCTCTCCCCATCTCCCCTTATCCCCATTCCACTCCACCCCCAAAACTAGTGTCTTTGGTGTTCTCTCTCTCTCTTTATCTCTCTCTCTGTCTCTCTGTCTCTCTTTCTCTCTCTATCTCTCTATCTATCTCTGTCTCTCTCCCTCTCTCTCCCTTGTGTGTTTCTATGCTTTTGGTGGACTAATTTCTGTGAACTAAATTCTTTCCTTTCTTTCACATGGGAAAAGCTTTAAAAAGTGTCACCAAACCTAATCAACTGAAGGACAAGTTTTTGCTTGACTGTAAATCTCTAATGTATGTTAGGAAATCAAACAACAAATAATCAAAGCATTCGGTAAATGTTCTTGTATGAATATTAAAATATTACTTTTTAAAATATGCCACAGCGGCGTACGACCATCTGGAGAGCTGAAATCAATACTTAAGAAGTCTCTTCAGATCAGTGGAGGTAAGAGTAATCATGAATACTTGCTGCTACTTCTCTAGTTTCAATAGCAACTTAATTCATTCAAAAAAGGAACAAAGTAAATAAGATATAAACGTAATTTCATTTTTTAAAATTTGCCTCCTAATGTTCTTCACATTCAAAATTACTTAAGAAATGATTTTCTGAGAAAATTCAGTATCAAACTATATTATCTGAACCATGTTTGTTTATTTAACATGAGCCTCTGATGCACACAGTATCTTTGTATAAATATAAGGACCTCTAACTAGTCCACAGTATGTGTCCTCTAGAGTTATGTGACAGCAATTTTGAATTTTTCTTTCATTTTTATAATAAATATATTTATGCTGCATATATTAGTGTCAATAAAAGGTGATCATGTAAAAAACAGAAATACAGTATTCAATTACTTTCATTAAGGATTTTGAGAACTAAATTAACTACATTTTTATGGGTTTTGTTCCTTCCTGTAATTTCTCTACTTAGACATATTAGGAAATTCACATATGGTTTTATGTTTATCTTTAATTATCTGCTATTTAATCTGACTATTTCTTGGCATAAGAAATAATAGGCTTGGTCAACTTTTTAAAATATGGACTTTGAGTCCTGTAGGCAGTGCTGCGGATTGAACATTGCCATTCTAAGCACTCTAGACTAGCGCTCGCCCTAATGGCTATACCGCCAGCACCTTTTTCTTTGGTTTTATTAGTGTAAGATATGGTGATACTTGGTTTATATGCTGATAGACATAATTTCCAGAACAATTTGCCACAGTAGGAGGAAGGCTGAGAAAAGAGCATCATTCTGCAGGGGACAGCACTGACTGGTCCACTGAGTCTGGATAAGATTCTAAGAGTGGGAGGAACACTACAGAATTTGGGCTCTCAGCCGTCACCACAGTGTCTTTCACACCTACCTTGCCTATTGAGAGCACAGCATCAAGTGAATAGGAGTCCGTGGAGTGTAGAGGAATCTGAAAGACTTTATTGAAAAGAGTCAGCATTATTGTAATGTGGGTGACTGTTGTTTACATTATTTCCACACTAAATTTCCTTTGTGGTGACGATGGTTGATGGAGGTCTCCCACATGCCAAGCCTCACTGGCAGTTCATTTGTTGTGGGACTAATGCTCTGCCTGAGCCATAGGCAATGCCAAGGAGGTTATACTGCAGTTCCCATACTGTGAATGAAATAAGCAAATATTTGCTTTATTCCTTTGTAGAGGGCGGGCTGTTAGCATGCAGTAAAAGCTGCTCACTGAAGCTGTGTATGTGTAGACACAAACGTTTCCTGTGAGGTACTACTCCCATGGAATTGCTGCTTGGTCCCCACGTTTCTTCCATCCTTCTCACCCTAGAAATACAGTTCAGGGTGCATAGCTACTGCAGGGGGCTTTCCCATAGCTCTTACCATGGGAGGTGATAGCAGCTAGTGCTGAGCTTCTTTGCACTGCCCATTAGCAAGGGACCAGAAGCTGGAACTGAGGGGCTTCTGCAGCCTCCTCAGAAGCACTTGAGGAGAGTACACACAATGCCCTCTCTCTCTGTGTAGCTTTGCCACCCTGGCATCTGGAAATTCTTTGCCCTTGGTCTACCTGTGTGTCTTAAGTTTTGCTATGCTGCAAGGAGCAGTCCTCGTAGACTTAGCTTCCTTGTGTCTGGAATTTTCATCTTCAACGAAATAAATTCAACTTAATCTTCAGAGAGGCTCTTTTCACTTCCATGCAAGATGAGTATGCTCACTTACAATTCTCCTACCACCACTAGTCCAGAGACAAAATCATCAGCAGCAACACTGTGCTACTACTGTAACACTTCAGCTTGTGATACTGATTCTAGTTAAGATGTCTTATAGTGCTTAAGATCATAGGTGTTTTGTACACCAATTTATTATAAGTAGTAACTTTTGATAAATTTGTCTCATTTGAAACATACAAAGAAGTCTCAATTAATTGTTATCCATATATTTGTTGTCTATAAATCAATATTCACTTTAAATTTTAGCCTCATTTGGGGACAAATAAATGTAGTAAAAAATATTGGCCTTGGCATTTAATGCTCTTATATTTTACAATTGATTATAACATATTTTGTTTTTCTACTTTATAGCTAGTCGAAGACCAAACGATCAGATCTCACTCAGGTAAGAATGTCTGGATTTTAAAATACATTGAGTATGTAGAGAATATAAAGTTCAGAAGCTGTCATCATGTTTTTTTCTGTGTAAGCCAGTTTCAGCTTCTTGATTAGTGCTAATCAAAGCTGAATATTTATCTATGGAGAAGCATATAGTTTTAAATAACTGATTATTCCTCTGATACAGCATGAAATGCTATAGGACTCCCTGTCTGTGGAGGTGATTCAGCGGATAAAGTGCTGGCTGTGTATATGGGAAAATGGGAGATAGATTCCCAGGGTCTGTATGAGGCCTGTTGGTCTTGTGCACTTTTAAAATTCTGGTGAGCTTATGGTTAGATTGCAGGTGGAGACAGAGCATCCCTGACATTTTCTGGATTGCTTGCCTGAGGTTTGCATTCATGAGTGAGAGACCCAGCTAGTAAACTAATGTTTAAGGTTAGGGTCAACTCCCAAGTCTATATTCCAATCACCGCACCTACACACTGGCATGTATGTACCTTAAATCACACATACATAGAAATACACAGTATATACCATATTTTGCACATATATGTAAAAGGATCCATTTTCAAGTCATTAATCTTTTTCACTAATTTGTTTGGCTGAGTTGTCTGTGGGAAGAGTGTGAAAAATATGGCAAGGTTCAAAACTCTCCAAGGCTTTGCTAAAGATCACCTCAGAATGGCCTTATAGACATGCTTCTGTCCTACAGGTTAATAGCTCCCTTAATGAGTTCCCCAACTATGGTGAATCACAAGGTAGATGAAGTTAGAAAAACAAACTGGTTGGTCCAGAGCTTACCAACCAGAAGCCCTGAAATTTGGAGCTCTTAGCTGTAGTTCAGATGGAGTAGAGCTGAGGGTACTGTATTGCTCTGCAGTGCCCTGTAAATACTCAAGACTTGTGCAGGAAGTAATGGCCGTTGAATATAAAGAGGATCATCATAGATCCAGGTGGTTTGGGTGCATGCTTTTAATCCTAGCACTCAGGAAAGTAGAGGCAGGCGGATCTGTGAGTTCAAGGCAAGCCTGGTTTACAAGAAGCAGTTCCAGGACAGGCTTCAAAACTACAGAGAAACTCTGTCTCAATAAACCAAAAAAAAAAAAAAAAGGATTAAAAGGAAGAAAAAAAAAAGAATTTCATCATGTACTTGTGCACAGACTTCCAATAAAGCAGCTTCAAATCACCAAAATATGGTGAATTCTGATATTGTTGGCAGCTTGATGTTTAGATGTTTAGATTTTTAGATGTTTGATGTTTAGATCAAGATGTTGCTCCCAAAGCAATTTCTTGGGAGAGAGTGAGTGACTAAATGTAATGCCTAAAGAGTTTCTTGACAGAAAACAGGACAAGGTGCTGTAGGTTTAGGGGAAGAAATGAAATAGGAGCATTAAGTACTTAGAGCACAAAACAATCAGTTACTGCTACCATCAGAACAAAGTATGTGGCAAAACCGCCATTCCCCTGTCTTGTGTGCTTGGATGTGTGTGTGTGCGTGTGTGTGTGTGTGTGTGTGTGTGTGTGCGTGCGTGTGTGTGTTTCAATCAAAAGCTAAATTTTCTGTGTTTTTCTCCATGAGGAAAGGTGGAAAGGAGAGCAGTCATTAATCATCACCAACTGTTGAAGAATGAATTCAGAATTATTTGGCTGGGCTTCTATCCCATGCCTTTAATCCCAGAATGTGGGAGGCAGGAGGCATAGATCTCTTTGATTTCAAGACAAACATGAAACATATAGTGTATTAAAAGTTAGCTGAAATACATAATGAGATCCTGTTTCAAAAAATGTTTTTGTAAATATGTAATGTAAGATGTGTTAGGGACTCAAAAATAAAGAATTGAGAAACATGCTAAGTGTTTTTATATGGATAGTTAAATGATGATCACTTTCAACATATGTCACAGTGAAGGAACAATAACAAGAGAGCCGGAGCAGAGAAAGGAAAAGTGTGTCACCTTCAACGATGGTAAGAATTACTCCATCTGTCCTACCTTCCCTGAAGAAAATAAGGAAGAGTAAAGATTTTAGATCCCAAAAAAGAGTTAAGGATAACAAGTATAAATCAAGCACTTTCAATTGTGAAGTATTTTTGTCAAAACATTGCTTATTTCACCTTAATGCTGATATCTGTACAGCCATTGAATAAATGAGAAAACATCTTTACACAGCACATGTCCTCCATAGTCACATTGCAGCAAATAGGATTGTCAGAAATACAGATTCTCCTTGAGTTTATGACAAATGCCTTGTATTTTGTACTGCATATCGCTAACACATCTCACTGCCACTAAAATGAAATTATGTCACAAAAAACCTTAATCAATTATTTTCATTAACTAATTTCCTACCTTATGATGTAATTAAATCATCTGAGTTCTTAAATGTCTGTGAAAGTTCTCAGTTTGGAAAGTTTTGGCATACTGTATAATTGTTTTCTTTAGAAATCTCCTACTTTAGGGTGGAAGTGTTTCTTTTATAGTGAATGCATTGATTTTAGGGAGACTTACCAATCCTTATATGTTTTCCTTTTCTTTCTTTTCCTTCTTCCTTTTTCTTGGTCCCTGCCTCCCCTTGTTTCCTCCACCCATCCCTAAATCCCTCCCTCCCTCTCTTCTTTCTTTCTTCCTTTCTTTCTTTCTCTTTCTTTTCTCTGAAGTGCTAGAGGTTGAACATAAGGCTTTGGGAGCATTCTAGGCAAGCACCCTACCCATAATCTCTGCCTTCTGTTTTAGTTAAATAGAACATGGTAAGGGTGTATATCATTTCCATGCTGCATAGCATGATTCAAGAATAAAAACTGAAAGAAAAAGCAAAGTGAAGAAAATGACATCATTCTGTATTTCAAAGAATTATCTGCTTCTCCATTGAGTCTGGAGAGACTTTGTGGCAGTGGCAGGAACACCACGTAGTATTTACTCTCAGTAACTGTCATCATCACAGTGTCTTTTATACCTAAGTTGCCAGCGGCAACCACACTAGGTAGTGCATCCAAAACTCTCTTTCCTCAAGAGGTAAGATGAAGAGAGTCAATATTATTGTAATGGACACAGCTTTGTGTCACTGTATTATGAAGTTTGCTGTTCATGGCATTTGTGGTGGTGAGAACTGACTGACGCCTCCTGCATAATAAGCATAGGCTTTCCTACTGAGCCGCAATCCCAGTCCACTAGTTGGTGGCTCAAATGGCTGTCCTGCGACATGTGGGAATGCTAAAAAGACACACTAAGTTTCCTTGACTTTAAACAACACAAAAAATAAATAAACATTTCATTTCTTTTTTGGTTAGTTAATGTTTATTTTAGTTTTTTAGAGATAAGGTTTTTCTGTGTGTAGATTAGAGCCTGCCCTTTAATGTATTCTCTACGCAAGCTTGCCTTGAACTCCCATAGAGCCTCCTGCCTCTGTTTCCAAGCACTGGGATTAAAGGTGTGAGCCACCACTGCCAGCCTCCAATGTTTCATTTCTAAAAGCAAACTGCAAGTGAACAGTGAAGGATTGAGTGAGTTTATTGTTTACACATGTGAACTTGTACAATGATCCTATGTCAGAAGGAAGCCCATGGAATTTGCTGCTCCAGTCTCACAGCTGCTTCTCTGATGCTCTTGCACTTGAGGTCGAGCTTGGGGTTATTACTCCCAAGGGAGAGATCTTTCCAGTAATTCATTTCAGGGGAGATGATGCCTGCTATCATGAGCATCCTTTAAGCTGCATATAAGTCTGGGAACACAGATGGAACTAAGGATATTCTTTCCCCAAAGGGGATGAGGAGAGGAAGCTTCATGCCTGCCCTCCCTTGAGCTGTTATGTAAAAGTCTTTGTCCCTCTTCTCTTTCTTTCTGCCAGGTTTCATCCTGATACAAAAGACAGAAGCCATACATATAGTCCCAGTGTTAGGAATTTGCCTGACAAAATGAACAATTTTTACTAAAAGGTTCAACAAGGTTCTTCGTTTCCGTGAAGAACAAAAATGTGTATAGGCCTATGGATTTTTTTTCCATTTTCAATTTTGTCAGAGTGCTAGCAGAAGACACAGTTTTATTTTTATGTTTGTGAGACACAGTTTTATTGTTATGTAGTTCTGGCTGTCTTGGGAATCACAGGGTGAGTGTTTGTTTTTAGGTATTATGCTTGATAAGTTTAAGTCTTGTTTGATTTGAAATAAACAAAATAGATTAATTCTACATGAAAAAATTTCCTACAAAAGAGTATTTACTCTAGAATAGTCTAGATTAGTCTCAAAAATGGATACTATGTATCTAATCATTTTATATGTTCTATTTCTCTAGCATTGTAACAAATTCATTTTGATTTTTTTTTTTTAGAAATACATTACAATACTGATAAGAAGCCTTTTTGCAGGTAAGGTCTAAGAATAAAGTAATCCTAAGGAAATTCCAAGATAACAAGCCAATTATTAGTTGTATTCTCAGATAGATACTGATTTTTACACTCAATTTTTGCTTTGTCTTACAATCCCCATAGTATTATCAATGTATTTTAGCCAGAAATACTGTTGTTTTTAGATCATGGACATGAAGTGTATACTCAACCATCATTTCCCCTGTACCAATTCTGCGTTTTGGAAAATGAGCCTACTGATGATAACCACACTCACTATGTCCATCTGACACTCCTTGCCTTTTCAATTTTTTTCTGAACTCAGCTAGTGAACTAGATCTTCATCGCATTTGTCTTTCTGAGAGCTGACAGGATTTGGGATCTCTCTGCATTATCACACAGTATTACAAGAAGCCAACAAATTATTTTCTTCCTTTGACACCATCTCCACGTGCAGAGGCCCTTTTGTTCTGCGTAGGACCCTTTTATAGATGGTGGAAGATCCCATGCCTTCCTCCTACCACAGTGCTCCATCCATCACTTGTCCGTTCCTGTGAGCTGTTTTCTACAGTAATGAAGTCTCTGGATCTCAGTAGATTATCTGGATGTAGAGAGCCAAACTGTGACATGGTTACTCTTTATGTGTCTATAAAAGGGGCTTTGTCTTCCCCATCAGTAGGACATGAACATAGACTAGAGGCCCTTTCTGTCAGTGATCTGCTATCTCAGACACTGATTTGGCAGAAAATTAAAGGTGGTATGTCGAGCTAGTTCTGTGCTCATCTTAATTGATTACTTTCATAATAGAGGACAATTGTGTTATCATTTGTGGGAACATGTATCATAAAACATTCGATACACATTAGTAAATTGCTTATTACTAATGATTTATTAATAAATCACTCCAAGTTAAAAGGTCCAAAATGCATCACAGTTAATGTCCAAAGCGCAGATTCATAATTTACAGTAGCTACAACTGTTCAAAGACACACCTCTTAAAAACCATGTTCCTTTCTACTAGGAATTCTAAACTGTCTCAAGCTAATAACCTGAAATTATCCACTGAGTTTATATTGCTGTTTGTTCATATTTTTATCTCGTTAAATTAATAGCAATGCTCATTTGGCATAGATTGTGGTTTCAAGATTCACTCATGAATGGACTACTAAGGGGCAGCTTGAGCATATCCTAGGCCATGGTATCTCGTCAGAGTGCAAGCAGAAGCAGGAATCTATTCTATGGTCCACAAAGAACCTTGTGAGAGATAGCATCACGTGCATTGAGAGCCCACAAAGTAACCTGAGAGAGAGGGGTTCTGTGATGCTCTAGGAGCAGATGATGACATGACAAGTGGAATCGGGGTACTAATTACATTGAGCACAAGAGTGACTATCAGTTACTACAGCATTAAAAAATGTGCTGGAGAAAAACTAGTGTCTTTTTTTTTAAATTTTTTTTGAGAAAAAAAAAGTTTCTGCCTCCTCCCAGCCTCCCATTTCCCTCCCCCTCCTCCCACTCCTCTCCTCCTTCCCCCACTCTTCTCCCCCTCCCTCTCCAGTCCAAAGAGCAGTCAGGGTTCCCTGCCCTGTGGGAAGTCCAAGGTCCTCCCCCCCCTCCGTCCAGGTCTAGGAAGGTCAACATCCAAACTGGCTAGGCTCCCACAAAGCCAGAACATGAAGTAGGATCAAAACCCCATGCCATTGTCCTTGGCTTCTCATCAGCCCTCATTGTTCGCCATGTTCAGAGAGTCCGGTTTTATCCCATGCTTTTTCAGTCACAGTCCAGCTGGCCTTGGTGAGCTCTTAATAGATCAGCCCCTGTCTCAGTGGGTGGGAGCACCCCTCGTGGTCCTGACTTCCTTGCTCATGTTCTCCCTCCTTCTGCTCCTCATTGGGACCTTGGGAGCTCAGTCCGGTGCTCCAGTGTGGATCTCTGTCTCTATTTCCATCCATCGCCAGATGAAGGTTCTATGGTGATATGCAAGATATTCATCAGTATGGCTATAGGATAGGGTCATTTCAGATTCTCTATCCTCAGCTGCCCAAGGAACTAACTGGGGACATCGCCTTGGGCACCTGGGAGCCACTCTAGATTCAAGTCTCTTGCCAGTTCTAAGGTGGCTCCCTTAACTAAGATATGTGCTTCCCTGCTCCCCTATCCAGCCTTCCGTTATCCCAATCATCCCGTTTCCCCAAGTTTTCCCAATCCTCCCCTTCTCACTGTTCTCTCCCCATCTCCCCTTATCCCCATTCCACTCCACCCCCAAAACTAGTGTCTTTGGTGTTCTCTCTCTCTCTTTATCTCTCTCTCTGTCTCTCTGTCTCTCTTTCTCTCTCTATCTCTCTATCTATCTCTGTCTCTCTCCCTCTCTCTCCCTTGTGTGTTTCTATGCTTTTGGTGGACTAATTTCTGTGAACTAAATTCTTTCCTTTCTTTCACATGGGAAAAGCTTTAAAAAGTGTCACCAAACCTAATCAACTGAAGGACAAGTTTTTGCTTGACTGTAAATCTCTAATGTATGTTAGGAAATCAAACAACAAATAATCAAAGCATTCGGTAAATGTTCTTGTATGAATATTAAAATATTACTTTTTAAAATATGCCACAGCGGCGTACGACCATCTGGAGAGCTGAAATCAATACTTAAGAAGTCTCTTCAGATCAGTGGAGGTAAGAGTAATCATGAATACTTGCTGCTACTTCTCTAGTTTCAATAGCAACTTAATTCATTCAAAAAAGGAACAAAGTAAATAAGATATAAACGTAATTTCATTTTTTAAAATTTGCCTCCTAATGTTCTTCACATTCAAAATTACTTAAGAAATGATTTTCTGAGAAAATTCAGTATCAAACTATATTATCTGAACCATGTTTGTTTATTTAACATGAGCCTCTGATGCACACAGTATCTTTGTATAAATATAAGGACCTCTAACTAGTCCACAGTATGTGTCCTCTAGAGTTATGTGACAGCAATTTTGAATTTTTCTTTCATTTTTATAATAAATATATTTATGCTGCATATATTAGTGTCAATAAAAGGTGATCATGTAAAAAACAGAAATACAGTATTCAATTACTTTCATTAAGGATTTTGAGAACTAAATTAACTACATTTTTATGGGTTTTGTTCCTTTCTGTAATTTCTCTACTTAGACATATTAGGAAATTCACATATGGTTTTATGTTTATCTTTAATTATCTGCTATTTAATCTGACTATGTCTTGGCATAAGAAATAATAGGCTTGGTCAACTTTTTAAAATATGGACTTTGAGTCCTGTAGGCAGTGCTGCGGATTGAACATTGCCATTCTAAGCACTCTAGACTAGCGCTCGCCCTAATGGCTATACCGCCAGCACCTTTTTCTTTGGTTTTATTAGTGTAAGATATGGTGATACTTGGTTTATATGCTGATAGACATAATTTCCAGAACAATTTGCCACAGTAGGAGGAAGGCTGAGAAAAGAGTATCATTCTGCAGGGGACAGCACTGACTGGTCCACTGAGTCTGGATAAGATTCTAAGAGTGGGAGGAACACTACAGAATTTGGGCTCTCAGCCGTCACCACAGTGTCTTTCACACCTACCTTGCCTATTGAGAGCACAGCATCAAGTGAATAGGAGTCCGTGGAGTGTAGAGGAATCTGAAAGACTTTATTGAAAAGAGTCAGCATTATTGTAATGTGGGTGACTGTTGTTTACATTATTTCCACACTAAATTTCCTTTGTGGTGACGATGGTTGATGGAGGTCTCCCACATGCCAAGCCTCACTGGCAGTTCATTTGTTGTGGGACTAATGCTCTGCCTGAGCCATAGGCAATGCCAAGGAGGTTATACTGCAGTTCCCATACTGTGAATGAAATAAGCAAATATTTGCTTTATTCCTTTGTAGAGGGCGGGCTGTTAGCATGCAGTAAAAGCTGCTCACTGAAGCTGTGTATGTGTAGACACAAACGTTTCCTGTGAGGTACTACTCCCATGGAATTGCTGCTTGGTCCCCACGTTTCTTCCATCCTTCTCACCCTAGAAATACAGTTCAGGGTGCATAGCTACTGCAGGGGGCTTTCCCATAGCTCTTACCATGGGAGGTGATAGCAGCTAGTGCTGAGCTTCTTTGCACTGCCCATTAGCAAGGGACCAGAAGCTGGAACTGAGGGGCTTCTGCAGCCTCCTCAGAAGCACTTGAGGAGAGTACACACAATGCCCTCTCTCTCTGTGTAGCTTTGCCACCCTGGCATCTGGAAATTCTTTGCCCTTGGTCTACCTGTGTGTCTTAAGTTTTGCTATGCTGCAAGGAGCAGTCCTCGTAGACTTAGCTTCCTTGTGTCTGGAATTTTCATCTTCAACGAAATAAATTCAACTTAATCTTCAGAGAGGCTCTTTTCACTTCCATGCAAGATGAGTATGCTCACTTGCAATTCTCCTAACACCACTAGTCCAGAGACAAATCCAGCAGCAGCAACACTGTGCTACTACTGTAACACTTCAGCTTGTGATATTGATTCTGGTTAAGATGTCAGTTTCTCTGTTTGATAATGCTCATGATCATAGGTGTTTTGTACACCAATTTATTGTTAGTATTGACTTTTGGTAAAATTGTTTCTGTATTTTAAACATACAAAGAAATGTAAATTGAGTTATCCTTGTATTTATTGTCTATATATCAGTATCCACCTTAAAGGCTACACATATTCAAAGTATATGTAGTAACGAAGCATTGGCCTTGGCATTCAATGCTCTTTTTTCTACAGTTGCTTATAACATATTTTGCCTTTCTACTCTGTAGATAATGGAAGAAATCAAGACCAGATCTCACTCGGGTAAGAATGTCTAGCTTTTAAATACAATGAGTATGTAGAGAATATAAAGTTTAGAAGCTGGCACCATGTTTTCCTCTGTGTAAGACAATTTTAGCTTCTTGATTATTTGCTAATGAAAGCTGAATTATGCCTTAGATACAGCGTGCAATGCTGTTAGGACTCCCTGTCTGTGGTGGTGATTCAGCAGATAAAGTGCTGGCTGTGTAAATGGGAGAATGGGAGATGGATGCTTAGGGTCCACATGAGGCCTGTTGGTCTTGTGCACTTCTAAAATCCTGGCAAGCTTTGGTGAGACTGCAGGTGGAGACAGAGCATCCCCTCACATTTTCTGGATGTCTTGCCTGGATTGCTAACCTGGGGCTTGCATTCATGAATGAGATTCACCCATATAACTGAGGGTGAGGGTCAACACCCAAGTCTGTACTCCAATCACCACACCTACACACTGGCACGTATGTATGTGAAATCACACATACTTACATAACATGCCATGTACATATATGTAAAAATATTAGTTTTCAGGCTATTAATCCTGTTTACTAGTATGTTTGGGGCAAGTTGTCTGCTGGGAAGAGTGTGGGCAAAACTCTCCCAGACTTTGCTGAGAAAATCACCTCAGAATGGCCTTATAGACATGCTTCTGTTCAGCAGGTTTATTTCCGTCTTAATGAGTTCCACCTCTGTGGTGAATCCCAAGGAAGTTAGAAAAAGAAAGTGTTTGTTCCAGAGTTTGCCAATCAGAAACCCTGAAATTTGGAACTTTTAGCTGTAGTTCAGATGAAGCAAAGCTGAGGGGACAATGTTGCTCTCCAGTGTCCTATAAAATGACTCAGAAATACCCTTGAGTATAAAGAGTTCCAACATATGCATGTGGACATACTATCAAAACATTGCTTCAAGGCCCCAAAATATGGTGACTCTTGAGACTGATGGCAACTTAATGCTTAGACATAGAGTACATTTCATGTTTTTCCACAGCAACTCCTTGGGAGAGAGTGCTATGACATGAAATGCCTAATTTTTTTTAACAAAAAAATAGGCTATGGTGTTTTAGGTTTAGGGGAACAAATGAAATAGGAGCATTAAGTGCGCAAAACAATCAGTTACTGCAAGCATCATAACAAGTATGTGCAAAACTCGCCATTTCCCCTTCTTATGTGATTGGATGTGTGTGTGTGTGTGTGTGTGTGTGTGTGTGTGTGTGTGTGTGTTGCATGTGTGCATGTGCCTGTGCCTGTTGCATGCTTTGCATATTTCTCTGTGCAGACATGAAGGAAAGAGGAGGATATTGGTGTCTTGCATCATTCACTAACTTATCCACTTGACATAAGATCTCTGACTGACCCTGGAGCTGGTCTGGCAGCCAACAAGCCCAAATGGTAGCCTCTCTTCCACCCACAGTACTGGGTTACATGTGCATGTGTCCATGCCCAGTTTTTTATGTGGATGCTGAGGATTCAAACTCAGGTTGATCTGTGTTGGCAGCAAACATTCTTATTGACTGAGCCATCTCCCAAACCACTGGCTTTTTCAATTTTCATTTTTAAATAGAACTATGAGTGAGTCTTTAGTGAATGTTACATAGATTGAGACAAGTTGAAACTGCCAAAGCAAAAACTTTTTAAAACGGGGGTCAACATTGAATTACATAAATGCAAAAATGTCACTTAGTGCACAGATAACAAATTTCTCAAGAGAGATGCTCTAAGGACCAAACTCACCCCTCACTGCATGTTTTTATTCTAAAGGCTCTCTGAAAACCCTCATGTTACAACAGAGGACAAGGCCACCAACACTACTAAGATAAAATTCTCCTTTGTGAAATTTGTTTCCTTATGAATTTTGTTAAAATGCAGCTTTAGTCTACCTATCACAGTTTTATATGGAAATTTGGTCAGAGAAAAGTGTTTGGTATCAGTGAACCATCCTTTCTATAAATTCCAGTGAGCAGTAAGTCCTTGCAGATAGCTGTGGCCCAATAAGAGAATGAACTGGAACCACAGGGAGTGGAAGATTGAGTGCAGTTCTCATATATTAGAAGGTGTGTAGTAATACGAGCGGCAGGGCTGCATCCCCTGCACCCTAGCCACCTGGCTAGCTTATGCCCCGAAATAACAACACACAATTGTATTCTTTTAAACACTGCTTGACCCATTATATCTAGCTTCTTCTCGGCTAACTCTCGCACCTGGACTAGCCCACTTCTTATAATCTGTGTAGCCCACAAGGAGGGTTACCAGGGAGATTCTAGCCTACGTCCATCCTGGGTAGGAGCTTCATCGCATGCGACTGGCCGGGCGAGAGGAGCATGGCGTCTCTGAGCTCACTTCCTCTTCCTCCCAGCATTCTGTTCTGTTTACTCCTCCCACCTATGTTTTAACCTATCAGGGCCAAGCAGTTTCTTTATTGCTTAACCAATGAAATCAACAAATTGATATATGACACTCCCACATCAATGGTGCCTGGTGCTTGATCAAGGATGGTTTGCAGAAATAGATACACATTAGACTGATTATAAAAACAACTCTGGTAATACATCTGAATACATTTTAAAGGGTCCAGTTATTGTAGTGGTCCAGGCATCACCCAAATGCCTTTTCTCTCAGCATAATGGCAGGTAGGTTTTCTCTTCCTTTGGATATTCCTATTTCAGGATCACAGATAAGAGCATCTCCTCTGTTTGTCTCTTTTCTTCTGTATTTACATTAGCAAGAAATTTAGCTATTTGTAATCTGTTCAACCGAGTTTTCATTATGAAGAGATTACAGTGTGTTTTCTATTTGATTCCACTAGGAGGATATTGACAACTCTTCCTCCAGGTACAGAGTAAGTATTTTTCCCCAATTAACCAGCAGTTGTAGATGTGAAGATTCAATTACCATATAGTAGCACTTTGGTTTCTGGATATTTGCTCTGTATTTGACAATAATATACACTCTGATTCTTTGTATCATGTTAACCTATTTAAAATATTTTAGTGTTATGCTTAGCATTTATGTGTTCATAGTAAAATGACCTCATCACTGTGAGCTGCTGGAGGTTAGGAATCCTGTTTGTAACCTGGAGCCTTAGAGTAAGGGTTGTGTGACTCAGAAGTTGAATATTAATGACTTTTGAATGAGACTCAGCAGAAAAATGGGTTTCTATAAAGCAGTTTCACAGATCCTATGATATGGAGGACACTAGTGAGAGTTTATTTATAAGTGAAAAATAATATGAATTTTGCCTCCCAAACATAGAAGAGAAACACTGATGAAAGGGGGGCTATTAAAATTAATAATCATCTCATATAACATTCAGAAATTTTAAAATATAGTGAGTTCAGTTTAGTCTGAATCACAGGGAAAGGCCAAATTTCTTAGTTCATGATTTTCTCAATCTAGCTAGTAAGGAATAAAGTAGCTTTGATATTGTGCACCCCAAATCAAGAGTTCATTTCCTAATCAAACTAGGAAAATTGATCCTCTGTCTTTTCATTGCAGATCATACAGAAACAAATTTTGTATTCCAAGATGATCGCTGCAATGAAGAAGCGGGACCAAGAAGGTCTTAGCAAATTAGTAATGGACCTAAATAGTCTGGGAGAGGCACTGCCTGAATTCTCTAGAAAGAAATCATGCTTGATGGTAATTCCTATTAATTTAATAAGTAACATATTTGCATGTGAGAAGAATGTTGACTTTATGTTTCTATGTCTGTATAGTTGCAAATCATGTCAGAGAAGACAAAGCCTTGAACATATCTTTCACCTCCATCATACTCTCATTCCTATGAATACCCATGCTAGTCTGTCCCCTTCTAAGACAGTAGTTCTCAATATTCCTTATACTGTGAACATTTAACACATTTTCTCATGTGGTGATCCTAACAGTAAAATGATTTTTGCTGCTCCTTCATAACTGTAATTTTGCTAATGTGATGAATCATAATGTCGATATCTATGTTTCCAGAAGGCCTTAGATGATCTCTGTAAAAAGGTCCTATAATCCCCAAATGGGTTCACAGGTTGAGAATCCCTGTTCTAAGGTTTAAGTGATAGCAAATTAGACTATGGAAACAAAAATCAGAAAGTGAGTAACTTTTATCACAGTTGTGGAGGATTCATGAAATATAGAGAATAAAAAATAAAGACTCCTGGAGTCATAACTGTCAACATGAGTGCACATAACATACATACAATGTTTTAAACTGATTTATTTTATGTGTATAAATATTTTGCATGCATTCTCTCCATTCACCTTGTGTGTGTGCTGCCCACAGACACCCAAGACAGCATTCGATCTCCTGGAATTGGTGTTCCAGATGGTTGTCAGCATATGTGTGGGTGCTGGAATCTAGTCCAGGTCTCTGCAAGAGGAACAAGTGTCATAAACTACCTAGCCATCTTTCCAGTCCCCAGAATGAATACGTTTGATACACAAATAGAGTAGATGATCAGTGGAAATGAGTAGTCAGTCTCAGGATGTTTGCTAACTTCCTAGCCCTAGGCCACTTTGACACATTGAAGTCCAGAGAACACAGAGGCAGCACAAAGAGCAATAGGAGGCTGGGCATGTTGGTGCAGACCTTTAATCCCTGTAATCACGAAGCAGAGGCTGGCTGTTCTCTGTCAGTCCAAGGACACCCTGGTCTCTATTTATTTGAAGGATGGGGGAGGCAAGGAACAAGTGCACCAAGCAGAAGTGTGGAGGTCAAAGGATAATGTATATAGGGGTAAGTTTTCTCATTTTAGGCTCAGGTATCATTTTCAAGTTATCAGTCATGCTGGCAAGTGCCTTCATCCATTTAGCCATCACACTGGCTCTCTGATTTACACTTGGACTGAAATTTTGTAGCACTCACACACACCACCACCACCACCAGCACCACCACCACCAAACAAGAGAAAAAGAGTGACACAGAGAGAAGGGATATCATGTGTTTGAATACACTGTTACCTTTTAGGAGATTGGTTAACCTTTGGGATGGGATATGGTCTGGTTAGCAGAAGGCTGTCTGTGGTGCGTCTTAATGGTTATCACTACTTCTGGAATCAGTTCAGATTTGTCTTCTTCCCTGTCTACCAGCATGTGAGAAGCAATAGACCATTGCCACAGACAAAGCTTCCCTGTTTGCTTTCCCTACTTCAACTGCTGCAGGGAAAGTCAGTCAGTTAGAGCAGGGAAGGCAAACTAGTTCCCTGTAGCCCTGAGCCTTCCTCCCTTGATTAAATAATCTCTGTCAGATATTTTGTCACAGCAACTATAAAAGTAATAGCCTTTTTTGTTTTTTATTTATTTATTTTACTTTTTCTTTTATTCTTTAAGAGATCTTTTTTTTTATTTTACATACCAATTCCAGTTCCCTCCCCCTCCCTTCCGCCTGCTCTCCCAACTGCCCACCGCCCCACTCCCCACTCCCCCACTCCCCATTCATTCCTCATAGAGGATGAGGTCTCCCACGGGGAGTCAACAAAGTCTGTCATATCCCTTGAGGCAGGACTAAGGCCATCCTCCCTGTATCTAGGCTGAGCAAAGTATCCCTCCATTGGGAATGGATTCCAAACAGCCAGTTCACACACTAGGGGTAAATAAATCCTGGACCCACTGCCAGTGGACTAACAAAACTGACCAAACCATATGACTGTCACCCATATTCAGAGGGCCTAGCTTGGTCCTGTGCCAGTTCCCTAGTTGTCAGTCAGGAGCCAGTGAGCTCCCACAACCTTGGGTCAGCTGTTTCTGCAGGGTTTTTTTCTATAATCAACCTCATATTTGATCACAAGCAAATCTCAACAGATAAAGAAAGTGGAAATGACCCCGTGTCTTATTGGATCACCTATGGGATAAAGTTAGAATTCAGCAACACTAATGGCAAAACTCCCACATACTGATGGAAACTGAACAGTTTTCAACAGAATTACCCCTGGATCAAGGAAAAATAAAGGAAGTCTTCCTAGAATTTAATGGAAATGAATGCATGACATACCCAATTCTTTGGGATACTTTGAAAGCAGTACTAACAGGAAAGTTCACAGCACTCAGTGCCTACATAAAGAACCTGGAGAAATCTCACACTAGCATCTTAACAGCACACCTGAAAGCTCTAGAACAAAAAGGAGTCTCACCCAGGAGGAGTAGATACCAGGAAATTATCAATTTGAGGACTAAAATCAATAAAATAGAAACAAAGTAAATGAAACAAAGAGTCAATGGGACAAAGAGATGGGTTTTTGAGAAAATCAGCAAGATAGACAAACCCTTATTCAAACTAATCAAAAGAAAGAGAGACAAAATCCAAATTAACAAAATCAGAAATGAAAAGGGGGACATAACATCAGACACTGAGGAAATCCAGAGAATTATCAGGTCATATTTCAAAAATATGTATTCGAAAAAAGTGGAAAATGTAAAGGAAATGGACAATTTTCTTTTGTGTTTTAAACCTTCAGAAGGTATAAAGCAAGCAGCAGAGCTCGCTCTGTTTGTATCCCCTACTTAACCAATTGCCAGTTTCCATTACAAATGGCTAACAACTAGCTAGTTACCTTGAACCATCTAAATTCAGCATTAGGAGAGACAGGGGCAGACTTGACATAATTATTACACTTAATTAATAAAACCATTAGTAACTGTAATTTTAACATTGTCAGAACCAAACTCAAATGCTCTTTCTTTTAAGCCTAATCCAACTTGGTTTCTAAATTAATATTAGCTATTATGTATGCTCAAAGTGAGTCATTGGTCAAGGGAGGTCTTAGCAGGGAGACAGATCTCAAGTGATTTTAATAAACAGACATTCAGTTGCCAGACATCTTCCAAGATTTCAGTGAAAATCATTAGCATATAAATTGACATGATTAATTTAGACTAATGTCGAAATTTTAGGTTGATACAGAAAGTAAATGGTAATGTGATGAGTGTGGCAACCATGGAGTGTTCCCCTTGGCATGAAGGGACCAACATCTTGGATATGCAAAGGATTAGAATACAAACCACAATATACAAACCACAATATCACTAACAGAAATGAGATCTTAGCATATTCTTGAGTCAAATAAAGTGAAAGGGCAGTTGTTTCTATGCTTCAAAGATGTGACTGAAATAAAAACAGATATCACTTTTACGACATTAGATTTGCATAAAACCATATTAACACACGAGTTTTCCAGAACCCATTGCCTGGTGATTGCAGTGTAACGAGTATGAAATCACCACCTGATCTAGATAATGTTAGTTCCCCATGCTAACAGAATACTAAGCAGAAGTCTTCATGAAGAGCTACAGTCAGACACGCTGATAAATGACACAGGCTTCAAAGGCACAAAGATGATGCTTAGCTTAGGAGAAAGAAAAAGCTCACATCACAATGAGTTTTTCTCCATCTTCATTCTGAACTGATAAAAACCAATCTCTACCTCTATCTCTGTTTTTTCTCCTCTCTCTCTCTCTCTCTCTCTCTCTCTCTCTCTCTCACACACACACACACACACACACACACACTTCTTTTCATTGAAAAGCTAGAACACACACAGAGACACACACACACATATGCCAGCAGTTCAGAGCCCTTACATTGCAATCCTATTGATCTGAGTTCATCCCAGAGAACACAACAAACAACAAGTGTCTCACATACGTAATCTCAACACTCCTAAATCCTGATTGGAGGCTGAGAGAGTAGAACAGCTCTGAAACCTACACAGCAGCCAGACTGGAACACACAGAGGCACAGAAACATTGAGAGACCCTGTCTCACCCAGTGAAAGCAGAGAGCCGCCTCCTGAAAGTTATCCTCTGCCCTTCACACACACACACACACATGCATGCATGCATGCATGCATGTACGTATACACACACGCACTAGCATAGCACAAACAGGCATATTAATTCAAGCACACAAGCAAACACACACTCCAACAGTATTTTTCAGGATGATACAATATTGATTATTCAGATAATAAATGGTGTCTATATATTCATTGGCATTCCTGTTGTGTAACTAACATATAAGGAAAATATTTTCAGGGTCTCTCAGTCATCTTCAGTGTTTCTAATTTCCATGTGACATGTGTCCTGGAAAACCATACTTGTACCATGTGGCCCTTTCATTTCCTTTATATAACTGGCTTAAGCATTTTAGTTAATGATGAAGCAATGAGTGAAACATATGGCGTGTGAAAATGTGTCTAAGGCTTTCAAATCTCGAACTTTGATGTGTTCATGCTCATCATTCTCAAGGAAACCAATGAACTGAACATTTTCACATGATGCCCTTGAGCAGTTTGGACACACATGTAGTATGTGTACTTCCTCATCTGTTTTCCTTTACAAACAATGCTTCTCAAGCTATTTAGTTTACCATCTCCACGTTACATTGTTTGATCATGTTGGGTAAGCTCTGGAACGTTTGAGTTTTCACAGAAGTAGCACAAATCCTCCTCCAACCTGGTACAGAAAGGTAAACATAGACTGCTAAGTTAGGAGTCTCCCTGAGATGTCATGAATGATTAAGGGCTAGCATCATTATTGGTAATTGGAATAAAAGTTGGGGAGGCTCCCCTTCTGACAAACAGCATCAAATGCATTTTCAAAACTGGCACTTCCAAAATGTATCTGATTAAATAAGGTGGTGTTCTTTGTAACCGATCTAAGAAAACATTATGGAATTGTCTCAACTCTTTTGGCATAATCCACTGCGAAATACCCCTTCATCCCTTCAAATGCATCCTTCAGGCTCTGTCCATGTCATTGGATGATGGTTAGATTATTTTCTATTGCTGTAATAAAACACCATGCCCCAAGCAACATCTAGAAGGAAGGGTTTATACAGAGTGTGGCACATGGTTCCAATGGGATACATACAATTTTATCACCATCATGATTCAGGCCGGCAGGCATGGTGCTTTAGCAGCAGCTGAGAGTTACATTTAAATCTATACAAGGAACCAAGAGCTCACTAGAAATGGCACCAGTCTTCTGAAACCCAAGACCACACAACTCCTCCAACAAGGCCACACCACCTATCCTTCCCCCCAAATAGTTCCACTGCCTGGAAACCAACATTCAAATATACGAGCCCATGAGTCTGTTCTCATTCAAGCCAGCACAGAGATGCTGGAACAGGCCATCGCATTCATCAGCCGTATATAAAAACAGTCATAGCTAAGGAGTAAGAGTTTGGATGGCATCTCCCAGAACCCTTCCTTCAGCTCCATAGTTTCCATCTGCTGTGGGAAGTGGCACACTTTATTCTTTCATTTCAAAAGTCACCCTCACTATTCTGTTATCCCGGGAACCTAATGGGCAATTGTGAAAGCCATGGGGAAAGCAGTAGTGTGGTGCAGAAGAGCGAGGTTCTTTTTGTTTCCAAAGCCCCCGATTGTCACATTCTCTTAATCTGGATGGAATGTAAAATCCTTGTCATAAAGACAGGAGAGGACACATTGTGTCTTTTTTTTTTCTTATCTTTCCATTATAGAGAGGTAGCAAAGAATAGAAGAAAAGAAGGCATAAAGCTGAGCAGGTCCCCTTTTAAGATTCTCAAACTCTGGGCCTTTGACTAAACCAGAATGGAAGCAAAAGTTTCAGGATACCAGCGATTATAATGATAAAATTAGCCTGAGAAAACAAACATTTGGGGACTCTAAATCAAGACCCTGACATTAACAGATAAGCTCTAAAATGAACAAAAATAAGTGAAGTTTTCAATGAAATCTAACATCTCAAAATTTCCTTAAAGGTTGAAACAAAGAAGGGAGGTTTCCTTCCTCCATCCAATATGCATGACATCATGCCCCAGCCTCCTGCCCATGCCGATGCCACATCAACTTCTCATGTTAGTGAAACAGGTGACAATCGTCAGTCATCCGAGGAAACTACTGTTAACAACACCAGCGTTAGTGAAACAGGTGACAATCGTCAGTCATCCGAGGAAACTACTGTTAACAACACCAGCGTGGATCACACACCTTCTCTAGGTACTTATACTGGGCATGCAAGGGGGAGAACACATGCTGTCCCTGAGCTTGCTCCTGGTAGCCACAGTCGTGACACCATGGACCCTGTGCAACGTTCTGACCCTGTTCTTGATACCTGCATAGAAGATAACACGGTGTCTTAGCTTCACTACTGACCAGGAATCTGCTCTTGTTTGTATCCCAGGTGACACGTTGGACCCTCAGAATGCTTGTATGCGGGTTCTTGCTTCAAGTCCCGCTGAGTGCACCAGCTATGCAGGAAATACTCACTCCAAGTTTTTTTTAATTTGGGCAGCAACCACATCCTTGCTCCTCCTAACATCGCCAGTGTGGTTGCTGCAGTTGGTGGCTTTGATGTGGGAATGGAATCTATTTTAGAAATCCTGCACAGTTAAAGTGACAAGGAGCTTAACAAGGTAAGTTAGACCACATTAATGGCTTAAAATAGATAAATATTTCTGTGCGAGAAATCCAATTCTCTTTGGCTCTAATATGCATGATGATAAATAAATTTCATACTTTGTATAGGACTCTTTAGATATTATCTAAAACTAGAAAAATGATTTATCTTTTCTAGTCATATTGAAAATGCATCACATAAAATTAACAAAATCAGTTTAGTCCAACCAAACTGATCAAGTAAAGTTGGTAAGCACACAGTTGCCTCCCATGCTGGAATGAGGAAATGATTTTCACTCTTAATGTGAAACTTGTATTTTCTGAATGGCTAAGCAGGGAAATGTAACTGTTAGATATTAGTTGTTATTTTTCTGTGTCCATACACTGTGACTTATGTGGACAGCATTATTTTGGAAACAAACACCCCAAAAGAAACAACCTCTGAGAATAAAACCAATGAAACAAGACTCCACATTCTTACCATTCTCAAATACAATGATACTCATTGTGACATGACACTACATAGGATTCTACGGGTGATGCCTCTGTTACTTCTTATCTTGACGATGCTGCCAATGATGTTCTTGATACTACTGATAATTCTTGCTTTTCTTTTTAGTTTCTGCTGAACAACATATGAGGAGCTCCTGTCAACAATGACAATCTGTCAGAAATATTTTTTGAGGTTTTCTTTCATTTTATTGTTTGAAGAATATTTTCAGTTTACTCTTTGACATTTTAATGTATGTAATTCAGATCACCCATGTTGCTCATATCTTTCCCATCCCTGTCCTCTGCCTCCATCCCATCCCCTAACTTGTCCTCATCCCATTTTTGTATCATTTATCTTAAGGAGTATGACTTCCAGTAGGATCCCCCACAGCCAACTGCATGTGGACATTATCAGTTGGACTAAGTGAGTTATTAATATAGGGAGGGAGACATAACATCCATCTTTCACCACTTTTGTGGATAAATTACATATAGTGTTTTGTTCCTTGAATTACTGGCCAGGCATTAAAACATTAAATCTTATCTGATTCTACAGACCTTATTATGCTTTCAGAACATGTAAAGCTTGCTAAACTTTCATTCACCTATTTAAACATGTACTGTACATGCATCCCCAGAGAGAGGACACAACTTAAGGGGATACACAATTCAATAGGAATTTGACTTTATCTGGTGGAACATACTGATAAATTCTGAAAGATAAACAAAAATATTTTGCTACTTGGACTTTCTCTCTTAGTCCTTGATCAGAGGTCTCCTAGTTGTGCGGAATTCTAAGAAGATTAAGGAGCTGTAATAGAGAGTTGAAAGGAGCAAAGGGTCAAAAGTATTTCCAAGAGGTCAATAAATTCATTATTCTGCCATCTGATAAAATATTGAAATCAATTTCTGCCTAGAATGAATTTCATGAGATTTCCAGAAAATGAGAAGAGTTGCTCATTTGTAACAAAAGATGACAAATATTAGATGCCGAGTTTGCCACATCTTTATGAATACAAATATAGATATGTATGGGTTCCTTGGCACCCTTCAACATTCAGGAATGAAAAATTCCACTGAGAATTGTTGAGGCTAAGAGGCCCAGCTAGGGCTAGAATATAAAAATCAACATGGCATATGTCTATATAATTAAAATACCTGGTCTTTTAAATGAGCTCAATATTTTCAGAATGCATGATTTTAAAACTGTGTTTTTGAGGAAGCATGTGGAATGTACTGCAGGGGATGAAAGAATACTGTAAAATATATAAAAAATAAATTATAATGTATTTCTGGTTCCCACACATACATATATATATATATATATATATATATATATATATATATTCTAGTTCCTTCTTAGTCCACCTCCTTTTTGGTATTCTAAAAAAACTATTAACATGTTGTACATTATTTTGAAAGATTAAAGATATAAGACACCTTTAAAAATGATGTTATTATGATGTTATTACATTGGCTTTCAAGTGACAATCTGTCAGAAATATTTTATAAAATTTAGAAATTTTCCTCATTTGGACCTTGGGAACTCAGTCCAGGCTCCAATGTGGGTCTCTGTCTCTATCTCCATCCATTGCCAGATGAAGGTTCTATGGTGATATGCAAGATATTTATCAGTGTGGCTATAAGATAGGAACAGTTCAAGTGCCCTCTCTTCAACTGCTCAAGGAACAAGCTGGGGACATCTCCTTGGACAACTGGGAACCTCTCTAGATTCCAGTCTCTTGCCAACTCTAAAATGGCTCCCTTAATTAAGATATGTACTTCCCTGCTCCCATATCCACTCTTCCTCCATCCCCACCATCCCATTCCCCCAAGCTCTCCCCATCCTTCCCTTATCACTTCTCTCTCCCCCTCTCCACCTCACCCAACCCCCAAGTTCCCAATTTTTGCCTGGCTATCTTGTCTACTTCCAATATCCAGGAGGATAACTATATGTTTTTCTTTGGGTTCACCTTCCTATTTAGCTTCTCTAGGATCACGAAGTATAGGTTCAATGTCCTTTATTTATGGCTAGAATCCACTAATGAGTGAGTACATACCATATTCATCTTTTTGGGTCTGGATTACCTCACTCAGGATAGTGTGTTCTATTTCCATCCATTTGCATGCAAAATTCAAGATGTCATTGTTTTTTACCGCTGAGGAGAGAGAACATAAACAAGGAAGTCAGGACCCCGAGGGGTACACCCACCTACTGTGACAGTGGACTGATCTAATAGGAACTCACCAAGTCCAGCTGGACTGGGACTGATGGAGCATGTGATCAAACCGGACTCTCTGATCTTGACTGACAAGGAGGGCTGACTGAGAAGCCAAGAACAATGGCACTGGGTTTTGATTCTAGTGCATGTACTGGCTTTGTGGGAACCTAGTCAGTTTGGATGCTCACCTTCCTAGACCTGGATGGAGGAGGGAGGACCTTGGACTTCCCACAGGGCAGGGAACCCTGACTGCTCTTTGGACTGGAGAGGGAGGAGGAGGGGGAATGAGAGGAGGGGGAAGAAAATGGGAGGAGGTGAAAAATTTTAATAATAATAGTAAATAAAATCTGTACTTACTCTCAGAAAAAATTTAGAAATTATAATGTTAAATATTTCTCTGAAAATTGATACAGTATATATTGAATTTTGTATATAAGTTTTTAGTAGCTTTTCATTAAAATGTACTGTGAAAATATTTTAAACTGTTTCCTTGTATTGTACAAGCTGATGGCATGACCTCTTGGTGACATGTTTAAGGAGAAAGCTTCTATTATAGCTATCAGAGATGGAACAGACAGCGGCATATCAAATCACTCAGAGCAGAAATAGATGTTGGCTGAACATAGTCAACTGCACCTGCCTATGATAGAAGCAGAAGCAGAGCAGAGAGGCAGATGGAGAGAGACAGAAGAGGAGACACACAGAGAGAGGGAGAGGAATATAGAGACAGGGGGAGACAGAGAGATAGGTTTAGAAAGAGAATGAGAAGCTGGGAGAGGGATGCTTCTGAACTAGAGGGAGTTTAGGGTAGGGAGCAGGGTAGAAGACCTAGAACACGAGCATGGACTCTGACATGTCCAGTGGGTACTGGTGCTACTGAAGGACCTGGAGGCTAGTCTGTACCTTGTTATAGTAATAGATAATGACCACAGATAGTCAACTTTTCCTACTGCCAGTGAGAAGAGAAATGACCCCTTTGAGAAGAGGAAGTAGCTTCACAAGTTTTTAAGGAATGTTGGATTTATCTATGCTCTAGAAATCCTCCAAATGTCCAGGTTAAGCCCATTTCTGGGTATCTGGACCTGCAATTCCAGTTTTGGAAACTGGAGTTCAATGAATTTTAGTGGATTTTACAAGGCACAAACCAGTCATGTTGAGGTTTCCATACTCACGCTGCTCTCACATGAGTAAAAACACCACCCGAGCTACTCTATTGGCCTTAACATCCATAGATTTAAACTGTGGCTGCTTACCTGCATTCCCTCTTTACTTTTTATGACATTCCATCACCAGCACATGTTAAGTGAGCAAAGTCCCTCACTGAGGGTGGGGCCTTATGAGCCCCTTCCTGTGTATGATTATCATTGTGTCCTGGACACCATTTCACAGGAACAATCTTCAACCTCTGCCTCTCTCTTCCAAAGTGATCCCTGAGCCTTGCAGCGTGTTGTGGTTCAGATGTCCTGCTGAGGTCTGAGAACTGCACAGTTATGTATTCTCTAAACTTTGGCCAGGTGTGAGTCTGTGCAGTCAGCAGAGCCCACTTCCTAAAGAAGCCTCTCTCATTAGGGATCACAGTTGCTCAAATGTATAGGTGTCAGGGAGAGTACGTAGAAGGCAGCTTGATGCCATGTAATTTTAACAAAACAACAACAGAGGGCCTATTGTGTGGATTCACCACATCAGTGATTAACTCAGAGTCACCAATACTGCATCAGCATGGCAGTAAGGAAATAAAAGCACTTCCACTGGGAGTCATTTCTTCTGTCATCCCACTTCCCTCCAGGCCTGTTCTCCTCTAAGGGTCCATATCATGCTTTCTGGCTTTAACAGGTACTCTAAATTAAAAACATTAATCTGAGAATTCAAAGCTTGGAACCACATGTTGTAAAACGGAAGGGACACAGAAACATTCAGTCCATACAAAGAACCAGGGACATCATTGGCAGCGTGGCAGATCCCTAATTACCAAGGCATCTGGGGCAAGCTTAAATTCAAGGGCATTTGAGCCACACCCTCATCTCATTTGACCTAGGATAATCCTAACCACAAAGGATCTAGGACCACAGCATGGCATGAAGCAAGCCAAGGACCCATTTTAATGACCAAGCAACATTGCCATGCCTTAATACAAAGAATGTATAGGGTGCTCCAGAGCTTATCCTGACATCAGATATTTTTTTGCCAAATAAGATGCTATATTGCTTGAATTATTTTTTTTTTGATATCTAAGCTGTGAAGAACAAAGAAACTTTGGAGCATCAGAGGAAAACCATGGGAGAAGGAGTTAAAATGGGCTAGAAGAATAATAACATCATGCGTGAGAGAATCAGGAGGGAAACATCAAGAGTAAAGACAGAGTTAGAATGAGAGATGGAGAAAGCAGGGAGGGTAACAAAGGGGCATCATGAAAGCACCGTGAGAGAATAAAGAAGGAATCCCTCAGAATAGGTCTGAGTGTACATTTCCTAAGCCCTCAGATAAAGAAGTGTCAGTTTGTGCTACACTGTGGACTTTCCTTCAGTGCTGTCAGCAGCCTGGAAGCTGGTTCTTTCAGACTGTTGCACGCACCTTGCAGTGCACGCGCCATGCTTGCTGGTACAAGTGTCAGTCTCACACAGGATATGCACCATGAGTGCTGCTGCACTTGTGTCGGCCTCCTGCAGTGCATGCAGTGGAAGTGCTGGGCTACTGGTTTGCATTTGGGGCAGTGCATTCACAGTGAGTGGTGGGATATAGACATGAACTTCTGACGTACCTGCCCCATGAGTGATAGGTTAGCTATGTGAGTCTCCATCCACACATAAACCATTAGTTCTTCAGTCTCGCTCAGTACATTCACATTATTGCTGGAGTTTAGGCATGATCCTCCCCCAGCACATGCACCATGAGTTCTGTGAGACTCATCTAAGTCTCCCACAGTACATTCACATTCAGTGCTGGTTTCCATCCATAAGCCCACAATAATTCATGAACAATGAATTCTTGGTTTTAAGTAAGAGCTTCCAGCAGGACATGAGCCATGAGTTCTAGATACAACCATGATCCCAGCACATTAAAGGGAAACACATGCTTAAAATCCAGCACTCATTGTGAATGTTATGTGTGAGACTCAAACCAGTAACTGAGCACAAGTCATGTGTATACAGCAAGAGTCTCATGCCTATATCCACGCCTTCATGGTGCAAGCACTATCGTGGGCTCATGGTTGTATCCTGACACTCAGTGTGCATGTACTATGGAGGGCTGATATGTTTCCAACCACACATGGTGGTGTACTGTGACAGGGTCATACATATATCCCAGCATGTACTGGAGTGCTCTTATGGCTAACACTCAGCATTAACTGTGCATTTACAATGGGAACTGGACAGCTGTATTGCAGCACTCGTGATCTACTGTATGAGGCTCAAACCATCAGTCCAGCATTCTTATGGAACATAGTGTAGTGGACTTGTGTCCTCAACCATGTTCTCATTGTGAATGCACTGTGCCATAATGAACTCCAAACTCAAGCTGCATGCACTGTGGGTGGACCATGCCAATAACCTGGCATCCATTGTGCATATACAATGGTAGGCTTACAGCTATAACCCAGAACTGATAGTGTATGTACTTTTGGATGGGATTCTTTATTACCCAGCATTCATGGTATATGTACTGCTATGGGCACATAGCTGTAACCCAGCTCTCATGGTACATACTGTGGGAGATATGTATCTCACCTCTCATGGTGCATATACTGTGGTGGGCTCATGGCTGTCACACATATTTGATTGTGCATATAATGTGGAAGGCTAATGACTGTATCTCAGAAGCACTCGTGTGGGAAGGACATGCTGATGTAACCCAGGACTCATTGTTATTGTACTATAGATGCTGACACCTATATCCCAGACCTCCTTTGGAGGGTTCTGGGTGACCACCAACAAGTAACCCAGCACTCAGAGTGCAAACACTGTGAGAAGCTGATGAGTGTTTTCTAGACTCATATTGTAGATTCTCTGGTAGGCTGAAACATGTATCCCACCTCTCATGGTGCATGCACTGCAATGGGCTCATGCCTATAGCACTAATGGTGCAGGTACACTAGATAAATTTCCAAACTACATATGTATATGACTCCATTAGATATAAAATGTATCAATATCAAATCAAGTGATTCAGAACTTGATCTCCTAGCCATCTGTTTTGTCACTAAGAATGCATTAACTTTGCTCA